GCTCTAGGATCCATCACATTGGGACATTGTCACTCCTTTACCGTCATATGGTCGTGGAGTTGAACTTCCAGGGAAGCGGTACAGAAGTTTGATCAACGGAGACAATCTACTAGATGTAGTCATCACCGGTATAAACAACAATAAGCCCATACCAATACCATCATTACCTAAGCATTAAGACTTGAACTAATTGTTTGTTTTTTTGGCAGGCGATAACGGGACATTTGACGGTCAGGGAGCGGCTTGGTGGGAGTGGCTTGAGTCGGGGACCTTGAACTATAGCCGACCTCATATCATTGAATTCGTCTCGTCCAAACACATCCTTATATCGAATCTAACCTTCTTAAACGCACCTTCGGTCAACATTCACCCTGTTTATTGCAGCCATGTTCATATACGAAAAGTTTTGATCGAAACATCCGTTGATTCTCCCTACGTTCTCGGAGTTGTCCCTGGTAAAAAAAAAATCATTTTTAAGTCGTTCTTTTACTTTAACGTCATTACTCAATGTTCAATGTTTGAAAGCTAATTGAATTTCGGACAATGTTTTGTGTCAGATTCTTCGGACAATGTTTGTATCGAGGACTCAACGATCAACGTTGGCCACGACACGGTCTCTCTCAAAAGTGGTTGGGACCAATACGGTATAAACTACGGCCGTCCAACCACCACTGTTCATATTCGGAATCTCAGACTAAAATCTCCCACCGGCGCCGGAATCTCCTTCGGGAGCGAGATGTCAGGCGGGATATCGGACGTCACCGTTGAGAAACTCAGCATACACAGCTCACTCGTTGGCGTCGCCTTCAGAACCACTAGAGGCAGGGGAGGGTATATCCGTAATATCACAATCTCCGGCGTCGTTCTCGCCGGTGTAGAGACAGCCATCGTGGCCGACGCACACACCGGGTCGCACCCGGATGATGAATTCGACCGGGACGCAATCCCAGTCGTGACGCATATCGTCATGCGGAATTTCACAGGAGAGGATATAGGATTGGCCGGTAGTTTCACCGGAATCGTAGAATCGCCGTTCACGTCGATCTGCCTCACCGATATTCATTTGCAAACAAGTTCAGGAACTTGGGTTTGCTCCAACGTCTCTGGTTTCTCAGACGACGTATCGCCGGAGCCTTGTGCAGAACTCATGAGTACTTCGTCGTCGTGCTTCGCCGGTGGTAGCATATACGGTGGAGATACGGCGGCTCAGTCCTTCTACAGTTGGTAAGTATAGTAAATTAATAAATGGTGATGAAGAAGAAGAAGAAAAGAAGAAGAAGAAGAAAGTGGGGTGGAGTTTGGTTTACGATACGATTGAATTTTCAATTTTTTTTGTCAATAAGTCATAAAATTTGTTGTTAGAGGAAGAAAGAAAAAAGAAGGCAAAATTACGTTTTGGAGTGAGTTTGTGAGTTTCAAGAGACAAAGCTTCTGTTGTATTGTGTACAGCTTCCATTTCTTTATTTATGTTCTTTGTTGATCTGTTGAAAAGTACAAATACAAAACTTATCTGCGAAAAGTGAGTGTAGACCAAAGATTTGACTGATACAGTAAACACAGCAATTAGAGAGAAGTGGCGCTAATTTATCAATTACTAATGCTGATAACGATTTTGTGAAACGTCATTAGCATCTTTCATCAACACAGTAATGGGTGTTTTGATTTTTAGTTGTAAATGAAATGGGTGTTTGATTTTTAGATTTGAAGCCCAATATGTTTGTCCTCTCGTCTTGTTGAGTGGTTGGCAGAAGGAGAAAGTGAAGGACACGTGTCGCAGTGTTGCTGCGGTTCTTTCGTCGCATCTCTATGGCCACTATCATCTTTTCTTCTCTTAGATTGACACGTGGCTCCTTTTATGGCCGTTGACCCCTCCCCCACTATTCCCCCATTTTTATATTTTGTATTCAGTTCTGTTTTTAAACCGAATAAATAGATAGATGTTTTCTATTAACTGGATTTTATATGATAATCAGTTAATTAGTTGACTACGAAAATGAATGGAATAAATAAATGATAGGTTTTGGCTATATTCATTGTATTTTTATTTCCCTGTAATATGATGAAACTCCTTATTTTATATTTCTTCATATTTCTATGTTCATTTATTAATTCGAGAAGATATTAAAAAAAAAATCTTAGCAAAAATTATGGGCACATGATAGGACACCGAGCAAGATGCTGAATACATAACTCCACTCTTTTAGAAGAAGAAAAAAAACATAACTCCATGGCGCGCATGAATTAGGTTATAGGAATTTAGTTTTAAATTCCATATGGATTAATAATTAGGACGGAAAAGAAACAATATTCTATTGGCGCGCATGAAGTAAGATACACTGTGATCCTTAATTCTCCTTAAAAGCATTCTCACAAGTCACAACCACAAACAAAAAAATAACAACAATATAAGTTTACACAGTGATATAAAAGTTTAGGGTGCAAATTTTAGTGATATAAAAGTTTTTGGTTCTGCATAAAAAGCTGAAACATTTGTGCTCTACAAAACCTTTTTTGGTGACATGGACCTTTGGTTGATATTTGAAATATATATAGATAACAATATCTATCTAACATGTCTGTCTAAGCAGCTCTAAAGTAAAAATATATATACATTTAAAACGCAAAAAGCTCATCGTAAGAGTGAAAAACTTTTTACAGAGAATATACGGTTTCAGCGGGTTTCTTTCTTGGGACCTTCTCTATTTCAGCTTTTGGCGCAGTTAAATTTTGTTTTATTTTTAATCATGCATTCTTGTTGTTTTTATTTTTATATATCATATATAAGCAGAAGTAAAGGATGCGATTGGAAAACTCTATAACATGGATCACATCACTATGTCACTATACACAGACTTGCTACTATCCACGAGAGCTTCAAGTGGATTTAAGAATTAGTAGATCTTTTCTTAAGTAAAAAATCGTAGCTCTCATGGTAATAAGTAGTTTTTGATGATAAAAAGCTAAAGACTATTATTGTTTTGGATCTTTTAATGATTTTTTCCCCCAACTTGCTGCTATTGTGTTGAAAGAGGGGAAAACAAATGAAGACAACGATAGATAGAGAGGTCGATGTAAAAAGGTGCGAGTGATCTTATCCATTTCACGTGGACACGTGTTGCAGTGGGGAAAGCTTCTCAGCAACGTGAAATATTTTTTCTTATCATTAATATACTTTTTCATTTATTGTTCTTAAGTTTATTCTTACAATCAGTTTTTATAACGAAAATAAAATACACATGTATTTCCCTTAATACGTACAGTTATATATATACGTAAAAATTCAGAAATGATATGTTGGTTTTTTTTTGGTTTTGACAAAAAAAAGTTGGTTTTCTATTGGATAACCTCGTATTGTTAGTTTTTGTTTTTCTATTTTCTTTCTCAAAGACCGTGATCTTTCTTGCTGAATCGAAATCAACTAATGATAAGTATATATACTTTCCAAATGAAATTGGAACTAGAATATAAATCACAACTTCCCCTGAAGAGAGCACTAATGTGTTGTTGAGTTCTCCTTCAAATAAAACAGTTAAATCACTTGATATCACACATGTTAAACAGTTAAAGTGTTAATGCAAGTACATTTTGATGCATAATTTCATATAACATGAGTCGTATGACACACTTAAAACTGCCACTAATTTTAAAAGAGGAGAGACATGTCGGCAGTGCTAACTGCTAAACACAGGCTTAAGCAAGGTATACACTAAACTTGGATAGTCTTATAAACATTTACGTTGAGGTTGACAAATTTATAAATTTATAAATAAGTAATTAGTTGATGGAATACTTACTGATTTAAGCTGCATCGCAGCAAAATCGAATAGTCAAATGTGATTTGTTATCTTTATATTAAAATATGTTTTTGCGGTAATAGGCGATTGGTGGGTGGGTAGCATATGATGTTATTAATCATTCAAACGAACCATTTGAATATTTATTTGTTAATGCAGTCTCAAATAGATGTGCATATTTCACTTCTATACCATATAATTTTGTGATTGTAGTTTTGTTTTCGAAAATCATTTTTTTGTTTGAAAATCAAAAATAATACCTTATAAGCAAGATTGCATACTTCCTTGGGATTACAATTTACAAGTATGTTGAATTAAACATGGAAATTATACGTAGGAGGATACGATACATTATATATATGTATATGTAGCTTAGCTCAACATGTACGTGATGATAGAGAATGCTTAGGTGTATTTTGGTACCTTAATCATATTCTTGCTTGAATGTGCGTCGACGTATTATTTTGTTTTATTTAATGATTTTACATTTGTTTTACCATTTAGTTTAATACATGTAGGCCCATAAAGTCAGAAGGAATGGTTTCTCAATTACAGAAGAAATGTGAAGGGCAATTTAGTAAAGTCCTTAATTAAGTGAAAAAAAAACAGAAAACAAAATATATGCTGCTCTTTTGTTAAGGAAAATTCCTTTTTCCGAATTGGTAGAAAATGGACACACTAAAATAAAAAGATTGGGCAATAAACAAAGGTCAATAATAATAATGAAAATATGTAATAATGAACATGTGTTAAGGTTTGGTTTACAACTTTAGATAATGAGTTAAATTAATTTTTCCATGCATGAGCTGGATCCACGCATCAAGGGTCTTTGGACCCACTTTCTTCCAATTATTTCATTTCCCTCACCTTATATTTTCAAAGAACTTATAATTAAACCCCCATATTTTCACTCCTTAACAAAATCACCATGAATTTGACCTAAATTTGGAAGCAACATCCAAAGTCTCTTCAATTTCTTCACACCGAAGGTTCAAAATATGAAAATTTTATTTAAGATCAGACATTTTACATGTAATTCAGAGAACAAAATTGTAAAATTATGAAAAATATAAAAGAAAATAGGTTAAAAGTAGAAATTTAGAAATAAATGGACTAAAATGTAGAAAATAATTTAGAAAAAAAATAAAAGGCATGTCAGCTCCGCATATACAAAAGACATGTATGTATGATTATATAAGACCATGATTTTTTTTTTTCTTCGTCATTTGGTTCATCTTTCAATTTTTAATAATTAGCTTTACTCATTAAAATAACAGAGAAATAGAGCTCTAAGGTGAGACAAGCCATGTCTTCTTCAACTCCCTAAGTCTCATCTCACCATCTCTCTCTCTCTCTCTCTCTCTCTCTGTTCACTTTATTTTTACCCCCAAATTCATATTCACTATCTCCAATTCTAAATATCCTCAATTGATTTTTCTTTTCTACTCAAAACTCCTCCAATCGAATAAAAATTCGCGTCAATTTCCCCTCTTTCCTGGGTATATATTGCCTTGTTCAAAGCCTTTTGCTTTTTTTTTTTAGTTTCCTAGAGATGATGAATCCGAGTCACGGAAGAGGACTCGGATCGGCTGGTGGGTCGAGTTCCGGTAGAAATCAAGGTGGTGAGAGCGTCGTCGAGATGTTTCCTTCGGGTCTTCGAGTTCTTGTCGTTGACGATGACCCGACCTGTCTCATGATCTTAGAGAGGATGCTGAGGACTTGTCTATACGAAGGTTCGAATCAAAAAACGAGATCTTTGATTGGTTTAGTAATTTGATTTTTTTTTTTAATTTCACGAGTTTATGGTCTCTTCCCCAATGATGGGTTTTGGTTTTTTGGTTTATTGTGGTCCATTCTCGCAAAATTATGTTATTTTGAGGAATAATTATGGTTTTGATATCGGTGGTTGACTAACTTTGCTCTGCCAAAAATAGAAAGAAATGGAGCAATTTTGTTACTTTTTTTTTTTTAAAGATTCACATATTAACTTCTTGATTTAGATCACACCATTTTGATCTGGTGACAGATTCACTTGCTATCTCAGCTTTTTGAGCAACCCCTGAAGTTGAGAGATCCATTTGTATGCTATAATAAGGATTCAAATCTGAGTCTTTTTTTTTATGTTGTTGAGCTTTGACTGGAGTTTGGTTAAGTGTCAATTCAAGAGATCCTCGTTAGGACTCAACAGTTCTTTCTCTCTTTGGTCTGAGTTTGCTCTGTTTTCTTTACTCTTTTATTGAAATTCTTGTTTTTTTTTTTCCTGACATTCAGTAACGAAATGCAACAGAGCAGAGATGGCCTTGTCTCTGCTCCGGAAGAACAAACATGGATTCGATATAGTAATCAGCGATGTTCATATGCCTGACATGGACGGCTTCAAGCTCCTTGAACACGTTGGTCTTGAGATGGACTTACCTGTTATCAGTACGTATTGTATCTCTCCCTCTCTCTTTCTGTTTGTTAAATCAGAAAGTTTGAATCTTTTTGATATGGTTTCTGAATTCACAGTGATGTCTGCGGATGATTCAAAGAGTGTTGTCCTAAAGGGAGTGACGCACGGTGCGGTCGACTACCTAATAAAACCGGTACGTATGGAGGCACTTAAGAACATATGGCAGCATGTGGTTCGGAAGAGGAGGAGCGAGTGGAGCGTACCTGAACACTCTGGGAGCATCGAGGAGACGGGCGAGAGACAGCAGCAGCGGCAGAGAGGAGACGATGCAGCTGTTTCCGGTAGGGATGACGCAGCGGACGATAACTCCTCCTCGGTTAACGAAGGGAACAACTGGAGGAGCGGCTCACGGAAGCGGAAAGACGAGGAAGGAGAAGAGCAAGGGGACGACAAGGATGAAGACGCCTCGAATCTGAAGAAACCGCGCGTTGTCTGGTCTGTTGAACTGCATCAGCAGTTTGTCGCTGCTGTGAATCAGCTCGGCGTTGAAAGTAAGAGCTTCTTACATGTCCCATTTTAGTGATTATGTTTTCTTTTATGTGTGTCTTATTGATCTTCTTACGACGCAGAGGCGGTCCCTAAGAAGATCTTGGAGCTGATGAATGTCCCTGGACTAACCAGAGAAAACGTAGCCAGTCACCTCCAGGTATATATAATAAACATTATACCTGATAACGTAATGAGCAGTTAAATTGCATATATGTTCTGACTAGCGTTGTGTTGCAGAAATACAGGATATATCTAAGACGGCTTGGGGGAGTATCGCAGCACCAAGGCAATTTAAACAACTCGTTTATGACGGGTCAAGACGCGAGCTTCGGTCCTCTTTCGACACTGAACGGGTTCGATCTCCAAGCGCTAGCAGTCACGGGCCAGCTTCCTGCTCAGAGCCTTGCACAGCTTCAAGCCGCTGGTTTAGGCCGGCCTTCGATGGTCTCTAAGTCGGGACTACCTGTTTCCTCCATCGTGGACGAGAGAAGCATCTTCAGCTTCGACAACCCGAAAACGAGATTCGGAGACGGGCTCGGGCATCACGTGCAACAAACACAGCCGCATCCGCAGATGAACTTGCTTCACGGTGTCCCTACTGGTATGGAGCCAAGACAGCTCGCCGGTTTACAACAACAGATTCCTGTGGGTAACCGAATGAGCATTCAGCAACAGATCGCCGCCGTTCGAGCCGGACACAGCGTTCAGAACGGCGGAATGCTGATGCCTCTAGCCGGTCAGCAGCAGCCGTTCCCTCGAGGACCGCCGTCACAATCATCCATCAGGCAGCAGCCGATGTTATCGAACCGCGTTTCGGAAAGAACCGGTTTCTCGGGGAGGAGCAGTATCCCGGAGAGCAGCCGAGTGTTACCTACGAGTTACACCAACCTAGCAACACAGCACTCGTCAAGTTCAATGACCTTTAACAACTTCCAACCGGAACTCCCGGTCAACAGTTTCCCGCTAGCGAGTGCACCTGGCTTAGCTGTTCCGGCCCAGGTCCGGAAACCTCCTCACTCTTCTTACCAAGAAGAGGTTAACAGCTCGGAAGCTGGTTTCACTACCCCGAGTTACGACATGTTCACCAGCAGACAGAACGATTGGGATCTGCGGAGTATCGGAATAGCCTTTGACGCGCATCAGGACGCAGAGTCGGTTGCGTTTTCCAATTCAGAGGCATACTCTTCTTCGTCCATGTCAAGAAACAACACGGCGGTTGCAGCCACCAATCATGGCCGGAATCAGCAGCAGCAGCCATTGCCGGGACATCATCAGGTTTATGGGGACGGCGGTTCAGTGAGAGTGAAATCGGAGAGAGTGGCGGCGGATACAGCGGCGATGGCGTTCCACGAGCAGTATAGTAATCAAGAAGATCTTATGAGCGCACTTCTTAAGCAGGTTTGATATTTTTTTTTTTTTTTTTGGGTTCTTTCTCTTATACTTGAAGTATAATCTGATCGCCAACGCACATCACAACTTTTAGTTTTAGAGTTTGCGTTTCAAAATGAAATATATAACAGTTTCAGTCGCTTTCTCACCATTTGGTCGCGTGTGTTTATTCATAACTACCACTAATTAACCAGAAAATAAAAAAAATCCAAGAAAAGCTGAGTGGAATTCTTACGAGGATATAATTTATAACGAGAAGTGAAGTATAAGTCAACTTTTGCATGATGTTTATAATGTTTCATATTCAAATTTGAACAGACTAGAAGCAGCAGTTGTACTTGTAAACGAAAACGTTGACTTTAACAGAACCTGAAAACCACAATCTTGTTGTTGATACAGGAAGGAATCGCACCGGTTGATAATACCGAATTCGACTTTGACGCATACTCGATCGATGATATCCCGGTTTGATTGGATAAATGCCGGTCAACCGAAGGGACTACTGGGATTTGTATTGTATCATTTACACGGCAACTGCTTAAAGATAGTATAACCTCGTTGGTGAAAAATTTGTTTGGTATAAATCTGCGTGAAAATTTTAAAGGCAGGTTATTATATCAGAAATTGTTTGTATTATTATTTATTTTTTTGATGTTAGGGGTTAATATGTTACTCTTCTTGAAGATTCTTTTGGTCTGTTTAGGGTTTTAAACTTTTAATGTTCTAACTTGCGATAATAAGACGTTTCTAGTGTTGATTGCTGCTTTTAGGAATTTCATTAAACCTCTTGGGGGATAAAATTTATTAGAATAATACCAAACCACAAGGGGATTTCGGAGACAAACTAAATACCAAAATGTAACCAAAGAAGTTCAAAAATCACACGCTGCACAAAGCACCAAGACTAGTTCTGTAGCATATCTCGTTAGAAAGAATCAAGAAACCAGCATGTTTTCCGGCCAAAATGGGGAAAACTTAATCATCGGAAGTTTAATCTCTTAACTCTGCAGAATCAAGAGAGCAAAAAATGGTAGCAGCATCATAAGGAGAAAGGTGGAGACATGTTTGCTGTGACCGTTGTTCGTCGGAAGTACGGAAGGGAGTGAACATTCCTGACCGTTGAAGAACACTTTGGTCGGAAACCCATCACCGGAACCAACATTGATTCCTGGAGTCAGTTTCTTGGTGAAGGAGATGACCGACTGCTGCTTACCGGGCACCGGAAAGTCCTTGCTCGGGTTTTTTCCGTCCGCCTCTCCGACGAGATAGTTCAGTCCAGGAAGCCCTTCCATCAAAACAGTGTTGTTCTTTCCGTCGACAACAACCGTAGTTCCATTAAAGGAGTAGGCTTTCTCAAAACCCGGTGCAGCATTTCTCATCTCAACCGCCGTAAACCAATCCGCGAAGGCGGTTTGTCCCCAGTTGAAGATCGTGATACGAGCAGACCAACCGCCTCGGTAATCCGTGGCTAGATGCCAATTGATGCTGACTCCACAGTTATCTCCACAGGGCAACGGCTCTGGAAGTCGCCGGTGTTTTAACGCCGCCCACGATGTGGCAAGCTTGGTTCGGTTCTCAAAAGGAATGAGAAGAGCCTGAGGCGGGAGAAACAGAGCTGGAGAAGTTGTGCTGCAAGTGCGAGACACTCTGTCGCTAGAGCAACCTCCGCAAGCGCATGTGTTACAAGGGATGATCGAGTCGTTGAAGTAAGAAGAGAAGGAGACGCAGCACTGAGGAGTAGGTGGCTGAGAGATGTTGCAGACCACTTGCCAGCTAGCAAACACAGACCGGTTCGAAGGTAGACCGGTTGGATCAGGGAACTGGCTCGCGCTCACTCGAATGGGGGGTCCACATTTGTAATCCGGGTTAAGATTACCTTTAATCTGCCAGCTCTGAGGAGGAGTGATAGCAGAGATGTTGAGATCAGGAGGCATTTTGTAAACCTCCATTTGAAAAACAGACTTCGACTTGGTCGGATCCATCGACGGTGGCAGTATCGTACCGTTTCTGCAGCAGTATGGTTTAAGTCCGAGAGCTGAGTCGTTGTACTTGGTCAGAGGGAGGTCGATGATGTGTGGCCTCCTCGCGCAGCTCAAGACATTGGAGAAGTCAAGCTGTTGATAGTATTTACCTTGCGGGCCATCGATGCAACCCGATGAGTCTACGATACTCGGAGAAGCTCCTTTGGTCGTGATGATGAACTCATCTTTCATCCAGGCGAAGCTTAGATCCCAGTTGTCAAGCCTACCAAGCGGGTTGTGATTCTCGATGGTGACCTGAACCCAGTAACTGGAACTGTATGCTCTGGTCACATCGTACATGATGGTTAGATCTCCTGCTTGTCTAGGGAGATACTTTGTAATGATGGGGACTGTTTTATTATTGGTCGGACCAGGCGTGCAACACACGTGCAGAACATTTTTACCTGAAAAGAAAAACAACAGAGGAGGATAGAGAAATGTTAGCAAGAACACATTTTTGCATTACATTTCAAACCACCACACAAACAAGAAAACATATGTGATAGATAAGTAGAAATACCTAAAAAAGCAAAACTCAACTGTTACTGTAAGTTTTTCAAAACACACAAGAGCTTAGATTTTCTTATGTTTAATCAAATTCCTGTCTAATCTGATTTTGCTATTAAAGACTAATTCAAACTTTCGAATGTACAAGAAATCTACCAAAAGGAATAGACTTTTTCAACGACTGATTAATAATACCAGATCAAATAGAACAAATCATTGTGATCTTTCTCGATTTGTAGTGCTTTTTCATAATGAGATTAGCAACGCAAGAACACACAACAATTCATAAGAAAACATTGAAGAATCAAACAAATCAAAATCAAATTCCTTTTTTTACCTTGTTTAGTGGCTATGGGACATTTCCAACCATCATTAACAAGAGTGATGTTCTTCGGAAGCGGAACAAGCGGCGGCGCAACTCCAAACTGAGTACCCACGAGCTCGACACGCGCTTGCATCTGATTAATGTCACCCGCCGTCATAATCGCCGACTTCAAATCCGCCGCCGGATAACCGGAGAAGGTTGTACCGTTCTCAACGCTAACCGGGAGACTAGAACCGTCGTCGAGGACGGCGTTGGTGGCAGAAACAAGAATCTCGCGGTGAGCGAATCCTACGAACACGCGCCACGACTTGAGCTCGACGCGGGCGTTGTTGAGCACCGTGAGCACCGACTCGAACCGGTACGGCTGGTTCTTGGTGTCGTTCGGTTTAATCTTGGCTCCAGTCGAGTAAGTGTAGGAGACGAACACGCCGTTGCAGTGATTGGCGTCTGAAGAGTTCTTTGGACGAGTCGTGTGCTGAGACGACGTCAGTGAAATCGCCGTGAAGAGAGACAGCAACAGAAACCATGGGATTAGCCTCGGAGATAAACTCATGAAAATCATAATAATTCTCTCTACTCACAAAACCTCTCTGTTTTTGTTTTGGATATGGAATTTGAAAAGTTAGAGAAAACAAAAATCGGAGCTTTGTTTCTGTTTCAATACTGGAAGCGACCGCGTTGAACAAGAGAACAGCTTAGTAGACGCTGTCTAATTTTGGTCGCGTTTTAGAATTATTCAATTTTTTAGTGTCTTTCTTGTTGAAGTGAACAAGTAAAACAAGGTTACAAAACACTTTACAAAATTACAAGATGAACCATATATTTTTTTAACCATCAAAAGTGCAACCCCAGTTTATATAACATATTGTTGATGTGTATGTTTATGTATCTCCGCGTCAACTCGAATTATCATATTGAACATAGTTTAGAGAATATTTTGTTTACATAGTTTAGACTTAAAGTTGACAAAAATAACTTCCTTTAAATCTGTGTGTTTAATTGGTTATATTGATTTAGGGTAACATGTTGATAACGATTTGTTTAGAAAATAGTTCTTACTATTGATTTTGATCAACTTTAAGTTATATTGGTAACAACTGTAAGAAATATGGCTGTAAGTTTTTGTTGTTGTAGCTGTATATTTTATTTCTTAAAATTTTGGATGTAAAATTGTAAAATTTGGAAAACATACAGCTAAAAATATATAAAAAAGATGATTGATATGAGAGAAAAATAAAATTTATAAAACATGATTGATATGATTTAGAGCTGTAAACATAAATATTGTTGTGCATAGCATCTATAGCCACAACCAATCAAGTAATAATTTTATAAAATTTTGAATCTTTGGATAAGAAGAGTGTTTTAAAGGAATCTGAGATATTCTATGATGATTTTACATTCACTTTGCATTGATTTCGTGAATATAAAACAAGGAAACCGTATTTTTCAGTTTCAGAAAATAATTCTGTTTATGGGAATGTGAGTATATGAAAAAAACTGATTCGATATTCATGTGACATTACTGATTAGTTTGTGTATTAAAGATAGAGCTTGAAACAATAGCAGTTGATGTCGAGGAGCAAAACTTAATGGCTTTACAAAAGACAAACCAGAAAGAGGACAAAGAAGAAGTTGTCTACCTAAATCTAAAAAAAGTAACTTAGCATATTCTATTGCTTAATTTTGTTTGTAACAATCTATATGCTAAATTATTGTGACATTCTTTTCATGATTTAGTGGCTTATTCACTTTACTGAAAGTTTAAATTAAAATAGAGTTAATGTGAGATTTGCTGTTTATAAGTGTTTTGATTAGCTCTATGTCCACAAGCACACAAAAAGTTATTGATTAGTTCCTCTTGCTAAACCATTTTCAAAAAAAGTTAATCCTCAATTGTAAATTCTTACTCTTACTTCAGTAAATACAATCTGTAATTGAAAAGAAATACAACGACCTTTAGTGACTTAGTGTAACAATTTTAATATACATAATGTTTAGGGAGTGAATGTGTATATTCAAGAAGTAATGGTCCTAAATTGATGTCTGGGGTCCGCTCACTTGACCCCAATATTTGAATTGTTCTCGAGGTTTACGGCTTCACCTATTCACGTCACTATTTGTCCATAAAATTTGTTGAAACAAAAAAAAAAAACCATAAAATTTGAAAGTTTTGACCAGTTTGCGAATTCAAAAACCAATTATAATAAATTCAAATAAAAAGAGAAAGGACGCCCCAATGGACCAAAACAAATAAAGTGGCGTTGATGGAGACAAGACAACAAGAACTACGCGCCACTTTCCTGATATATAGGGCCCAATACCTACATAACAATGAGCCCACGCGCCATTAAAAGAGCGTGAGGTTACGACCAAATCTCTCACTAATGCATAGAATAAATTGTAAATAATCAAAAAGCATGGAAACAAAAATCTTCGAAGTATAAAACTAATTATACTGCTCTCAAAATTGTAATTCATTAGTGAATGAACACATAACATTAGTGGAACAATAAAATACTAGATCACTAGCTATTACACATTCATACATTTTCTATCAAGTTAATTTAAGTAATCGATCTCTCAATTATTATTATCCCCTAACGACACCAAAAAGAAACGAAGAAGAAGCTTTTTCTTCTTCTCCGCTTTAGGCATAAACAGAGCCGCAAGAGATGGCCATTAGAAGCACAGCGGCTCTTTCTTCCTCGCCGAGTTTACTCCAAAGCCTCTTCTTCTCAACCGCTGATCTCTTCATCACCGGAACTTTAAACCCAAAATCGAAAATTCTACTCATTCCTTTGCTGCTGCTGCTGCTGCTGCTACCACTAGTAGTACTCTTGCTGCTGCATGTTTTGGGATCATCGTCTTTACTGATCTTGTTCTTGGCATTTCGATGGTCGAGGTTTAGATCGTTGCTGCTATTGCTTTTTCTGGGTCTCTTCTTCTCCTCTGACTTTATTCCAAGAGCCGCTTGCCTCTTCTTCCTGCTCTTGATCCCACAAGCGTTGCACAATGACTGCATAACAGAGAAAAGCATATCGTGTGAGGCCATTGAAGAAATAAATTGTTAATCGAACACACAGAGTAAGTGACAGTTACTTTCTAGCCAATCTCCATAACTACTCTATTCATAACAAAGATCCAGGTTTTTCCCAATCAAACAAGTGGATCAAGCAGAAAGGTTGATACTTTTGATGATTAAATCAAATACGGGATCGCCATTATCAAAAGAATGAGATTTCGTATGAATCATTGACAGAAAATATCAGATGTCAAGTGGCAATATCAGTTCCTAGCACACTAATTAGCTAAATCAGCTAGATAGGTTCACAAAACGATCAAACCAGTCGATAAAAACCAATCAAAGTAACCCTTTCTATTGTGAATATATCATTTGATCGTACTCAGAAGCTATTTCGCGATCCCGCTGAGCAGATCTACTAAATCAGAAATTACCCAATAAACCAATGATCCAGAAGATTTGAACTTGTTTGGGGTTTGCGTGATCTCACCTTAGGTCCCGCAGGGCCACCTCGCCAGAGAGGAGTTCGGAATGTTCCGCAATCAACGCAAGTCCTCTTGGTCTCACCGGAACTACCACCGCCGCCGCTTCCACTGCTACTGCAGTTCTCGTTATCAACATCCGATAACTCTCCGGCAGAGTCGACCTTTGTTTTCGTTTCTTGCGATCCCTCAGACATTTTCAAAAAACAAAAAAAAAAACGCCGATCAGAGATAAGGAAGAGAGAGAAATAGAGAGAGAGACGGTGAGTGGTAAGGAACGGAAAAAATAAACGGAGAGGGATTTTATAACTGGGGAGGAAGGCGGGGGCGGAAACCCTAGGATTTCGGGAGTGTTGCATTTACTATACTACCCTCGAGCGGGAGCTTTTATTACTTTTACGAGGATCTGATTAAAAAAAATACGAGGGAAGAATAAAATTTAATTTTAAAAAACCCGCCGCGTTCGAACAGGAAGATATTGAAAGTGGCGCACAATTTTGCGGCTTGGGCTCTCTTGGTTACTTACTTACTGCCCTAAAAACTGAATTAGGGTGTTAATTCAGTAAAATCGTTTGATTTTTATGGAGGTTGAAAATTAAATGATGAAACAAATTTTATTTGTAGTTTTTCATTTGTGGTGTAATTTTTTCCAATTATTCGATTTTTATTAAGCTAATGATGATTTTTTATACATTTTTCCGGTTCCTACTTACTCAACACAGAATACATAAGTCCATTGGGCCTTAATTTGATAGTTGAAGCCCATGGCCATGAGGCAGCAGTTTTATTAAAAGTAGAAACCCCTAATGATCATGGTCCATGGAGATGGATTGTAATGAGCATCTGTCCCCATGGACTTCACAAGGAACAAGACGTTGGTTTATTGTTAATATGCATCACAAAAGACTTCACGAGGCTCGTGGTTTGGAATACAAACAATTTGTTGCTTGTCTTGCATATTTACTACTCTTGTGTTTGTGTTATTCTCTGAGCTTCTTTGAACAAGAATAGTCAATTATTAGTTCGTTTCTCATCTCTTGCATTGTCATTTGGGTCATCTTCAGAGATCGAGCTTATAGCAGCAGCTTAAACAAGAGCGTGTGACTTAACTTTTGCAATTCTTAGAATGATCCAAGTACGTAAACGTATGATAGTAGTTTTGAGAGAAAAACAACAAGATCGTATCTGGCAAAGAAAACAAAATTTCTCCTCAAATTTTACATTGTGAGGGTACAATTTGGGATGAAGCCATCCAGTAGTGTAAAAAATACAAAAATCTGTCGCCTTTACAACGACTTTTCCTTTTAACTATCATGTACCAACCGCCATTGCCATTGACGCCACTTTCTTGGCCTCGGAAATATGTAAAAGATTTACCACAAAACTTACTACTCTGTTCTGCCTCTGCACTCAGTGCTCTGTTTCACTTGCGTCTGCGTCGAAGAAGCAGAACGTGGCCAAGAATCGGTTCTTTCGCAGACCCTTCAACCTGAAAAGCAGCCAGACGAACCGACCCTGAGGAGATAGATTAAACATTTTGGTCCCTAAGCCTTCATTGGGGTATTCGAAATCCCGAGGACAGATTTTTACGAGGCTGACACGGTTTCTCTCGAGGTTCCACTCTTTCTTAGGTCAAGCTCTTCAACAAGACGCTTAGTATATGAATCTGGAACACATCCATGTCTTTCCATTGAACTGAACATCTCTCTTGCGTCACTCTCTCTCTCAGATTCACATAACGCTTTGATGAGAGTGCTGTATGTAAAGTTATCTGGTTTCAAACCAATCCTCAACATCGTCTTAAGCAGTTCCTCCGCCTTCTTAACCTTCTTCATCCTGCAAAAGCACTGAATAACCGCGTTGTACGCATAAACGTCTGGACTTAACCCGTTTTCCTTCATCTTCGCAAACAGCTTCACTGATCTACCTGTATCTCCCGTGGAGCAAGAGGAGCGAATCAGGATATTGTACGTGATCTCGTTCGGCTCAATCCCCCATTCCAACATCTCCTTGAAACAGTCAAATGCATCTTTTATTTCCTTTGCACGACAAAGACAGTTTATGATCGAACTGAAAGTGAACACGTCTGGTTTGCAACCATGGTCCAGGAGCTTCTCAAGAACCTCGTGAACCTTCTTTACATCGCCCTTCGCGCTATACCCGCTTAAGAAAGTGTTGAAAGTTACGAGACTCGGAGAAATCCCTCTACCTTGCATCTCTGTTAAGAACATAGCTGCACGCTCTGTTCGTCGAGCCTTGCAGAGACAATCGATCACCGCATTATAATCATATACACTTGATATAAGCCTGTCAACACCCATTTGTTTCAAATACAGGTCACCTTCAGAGAACCTATGAGCACTCAACAAAGCTTGAACAACCACAAGATAACAGTTGAATCCTGGCTTCAATCCTCGGCTGACAAAACCGTCAAATATCCCACACGTCTCGACAAGATCATACCCTTTCAAGAGACAAACCATTGCAGCATTGAACGTTGAGCTATCCGGCACATAACCCCGCTCGCCTATTTTCCTCAAGAACAGAGCAGTCTCATTAGACATCGAGCTGCTCGAAAGACAACACAGCACAGTATCATACGCTACTCTCTGCAAGCTCGAGTTTTTCTCCATAAACGCAAGCAGAACCTCAAACGCTTCACACGGCTTCAAGCAACGGAAAATCCCATGAACCAAAGTTCTGATTGTAGCTTCGTTAGGATTCAGGTTTCTCTCCCGCATCGTCTCCAGCTGCTTCAATGCCTCCTCAACCCTTCCTGGGATCAAAAACCCGTCAATCAAAATCGTGTACGTGAACACATTGGGCCTGTTCCCTTCTCGTTCCATCTGTTTAACCAAACGAACCGCCTCATCGACCACACCCTTCTTGCAAACACCATGGACGAGGATGTTGTAGGTGAACCGATCCGGTTTACAGCCATCGCTGCGCATCTGCTGAAACTTGAGGTAAGCCAAATCAAGCGAGTTAGACTTCACCAACGCGTCGATCACCGCGTTGTAAAGCCTCGTGCTGGGTTTCATTCCAAGGAAAGATATCTGCGCGAAAACATCATTGCAGTACTTGGCTAAACCTAATTTCCCCCAGCTGCCGATCAAAACACACATCAATTCGTCAGTAATCCGATACCCTGAATCCCGAATCTCCTTAAGCAACTCCGTGGAGAGCAATAAAGGGCCCTTACGGAAAAGAGCGTTGCCTAGAACGCTTTTCAGAGACTGGTCCTTGGCGTAAACCGGGTCGGCGTTGGAGACCCAGAGGTAGAATCGCAGTGAGTGTAATGGGTTTTCCTGATTCTGCAAAACGCTGATGATGAATCGAGGGTTTAAACCTATTCGACGAGCGCTGAATTCCAGCTTCAGGACCAAAAACCAATCTTTTCTCCCAATGATTTGCGAAATGAAACGCTGGTCAATAGGATTGGTGGGTTTACCTGGGGAAAGTAGGGTTTTAAAGGGTTTCGGATTTAGGGATCCGGCTGGTTTCGCTGCTGCTGCCGCCGCTGCTCTAGATGCTGAAGAAGCAAAGCCTCTCATGTCACGACTGTCCGGAACTCGAGTGACCAGAACGGAGCTGAGTGGAAGTGGAAGTGAGGCATCGCTTTTGGTGTAAAACCTCAACAGGATGTTCACTAAACGATGCCGTTTCCATTAACTCAATCAAGTGTTTTATATTTGTTCTCATGGAAAGTTCGTGGTGTTGGATAGTAGAATTGATAATGAATTCTATATGATTATCAAACAAAGACATAATGTAATGTATTCGTTCGCTCGTTTTAAATGTTATTTGAACTTTTTGTTTCTTTTTGTAGGCTTTGTAGCTGTTTACAGACTTTTTTCACAAATAATAATAATATAATGGTTATAACAGAGTGAACACCATCTTCATATACAGCTATTGACCAATGAATTCAAATTTAATAAGTAATTTAGTTTCAGAATAAATGAAGAAAAAGTCATAACCAAAGGCTCAATAAATATAAATTTGATAAATGTCCTCTATTATTATCACCTCCTTTCGAACAACACAATGGCAACACATGATCCCAATAACAGCAACGCGATACCAATCGTAGGATCTGAGTTTGTTCGTCCTCAACCTTCGGATCTAACGATCATCGGAGATACAGTGAAGGACACGAACGGGAACAAAGTGTTCAAAGTCAAAACGCCTTTCTTCGGTCTCCACAACAAAAGGATTTTGGTTGATCCTAACGACTCTCCCATTGTCACCATGAAAATGAAGGTTTTAAGTAGTTATTACCTCATTAGTTACTTTTATGATTTTTACTTTCATTTTGTTGGCCGGTCGATTTTTCTTAGTTGAATATTGGTTATGCCTTTGGGATTTGAATATATGAAAAGGTGACTAGTAAGCACGATCGATGGCAAGTGTATAGAGGAAGTGATTTAGATGATAAGATCTTCACAGTTAAAAGATCTTCAACGGTTCAACTGAAGACAAGAGTTGAAGTATTCTTGAAACAGAACCAGACCAGAGAAGCGTCCTGTGATTACACAATTAAAGGCCGGTTTATGAAACGTGCATGTACTATCTACGTTGGGGATTCCATGAAAATCATCGCTCAGGTAAATAAATTGAAAAACAAATACATCATTACATTATTTTACTTTAAACACATTGTCATAAATGTGGGTGATATACAGGTACATGAAGGAGATGAGAGATTAGTGGCTACAATTTACCCTGATGTTGATTGCGCTTTTATTGTTACGCTTATCTTTATATTTGATCTCATTAATATGGGTGGGACTGGGATCTGATTTATTATTTTGAGAGCAAGAGTGATCATTTTATACATTATCTATATGTATATGTGTGTAATGTAACATCTTTGTGGCCAATGTATATGTCTTATGTATGTTTTTACATGTGTATATCTCAATCACTACTCATATGGTTAAAAAACAAAGACATACTACAAAATGAAAATTTTGTGTTATCTTTTGAAAGAGAAAGACCAAGTTACACAGAACATACAACACATTATTATTATTTTTCAAATAAATGCCACTTCGCTTTGCGCTTTCTATAACCTGCTTCTTGGTACTGGTCCCATCTCTTTGGCCTTAGTCCTCAAAACATGCTTCTGAATTTTTCCAGTAGCCGTCTTCGGTAATGGCCCAAACACCACCGACTTTGGGACCCAATACGCCGGCAGCTTCTCCCGGCAGAACTTCATTATATCCTGAGCCAGCTTACCCTGGTCGCGCTTCTCGTAATCGCTCTTAAGCGTCACAAACGCACACGGAGATTCCTGCCACCGCTCGTCTGGCCTGGCCACAACAGAGGCTTCAAGAACCGCCGGGTGATGGTACACGACGTTTTCGACCTCCACGCTGCTGATATTCTCACCGCCAGAGATTATAACGTCCTTTGACCGGTCCTTGATCTCGATGTAGTTGTCTGGATGTTTCACCGCGATATCCCCCGAGTGAAACCAACCACCAGCAAACGTCTCTTTGTTCGCTTCCGGATTCTTCAGATAGCCTTTCATCACCATGTTCCCTCGGAAAACAATCTCTCCGGCGGTTTTCCCGTCTGCGGGAACGGGTTTTCCAGTCTGAGTGTCGATGACGTCAAGCTGCTCCATGCCGATATAGCGGACACCTTGGCGAGCATTGAGCTGAGCCTGCGTCTGAGGAGGGAGGGAATCCCACTCGGGCTTCCAAGCGCACACAGTGGAAGGACCGTAAGTCTCGGAAAGCCCATAGGTGTGAGCGACTCGGAAGCCCTTCTCGTTCATGGAGAAGAGGACAGATGGTGGAGGAGCAGCTCCTGCGGTCATGACGTGGACCGTATGGGGAAGAGGAAGGATCGTGTCCTCTTTAGGAGCATTGACAATAGTGGTGAGGACCACAGGAGCCGCACAGAAATGGGTAACCTTATACTTGGCTATGCTTGAGTACACGTCCTTGGCCGTAACCTGAAACCCAAAAATTCAATCAGATCACCTGAGTATGTTAACCTTCTTCCTCTCGAAGTGAAAAACTAAAAGCTTTCAAGCAACTACCTGACGAAGGCAGATGCTGGTACCGGAGAGCACAGCAAGGGACCAAGGGAAACACCAACCGTTGCAATGAAACATCGGTAGAGTCCACAAGTAAACAGCGCCTTCTAGCATTCCCCAGATGAGAGGATTGCTAAGAGCCATTACGTACGCGCCTCGGTGATGAAGCACCACTCCTTTCGGGCTAGCGGTTGTCCCCGAGGTGTAGCCAAGAGCGATGCTCTGCCACTCATCAGCTGGTGGCTGCCACGGATAGTTTGGGTCTCCGGTTCCAAGAAAGTCCTCGTATTCTATGGCTCCTTTCGATAACGCCTGGTTAAGTGACTCGGGAGGACAGGTGTGATCACCTATGACGATCAGGAGCGGGCGTTTGAAGCTGCTTCCGGCTTTCTCCTCCAAAAGACTCAAAGATTCCTCTGCCAGAGCAAAGAACTCTTGATCCACCATTACAACAGTGCTCTGCGAGTGGCCGAGAAGGAAAGCGACTGTTGGGGCATTGAGACGGATGTTGACTGTATTCAAGACGGCTCCAGACATTGGTACTCCGAAATGAGCTTCGTACATTGCTGGAACGTTCGGTGCAATTATCGCCACCTGAAAAATGCCAAGCAACCAATATTGTTCAAGGGAAAGTAAGGATAACATCGACTTCATAAACGAGATTCATGCGAGAGCAATGGTTAATCCCATGATCATGATGATTCATTCCAAATAACAAGAATCTATATGAAATCGATTATGATCTCGTACGAAATGTTAAGCGATTGTATGTTTTTTCTTTCGGACCATTGAAATGGAAAAATCGATTTCTTTGTGTTGAAATCATGTTCACAGTAAACTGGGCAAAAAAAATAAACGATTCAATATTTTCGGGGAAAAAACATTTCAGCCAGAGTCAACCAGGATTCAAGAACGGATAGTTCGGAATAACTAAGAGGAAAAGCGATTACCGTCGAACCGGGGCCAATCGATCGATCGGCGAGAGCGGATGCGAGACGGCGACACCGGTCATAAGTCTGCCGCCACGTGTACTCGCGGGATCCGTGAATCACCGATTTCCTCGTCGGATGAACCGCCGCAGCCCTATCTAAGAACCAGAGCGGCGTCAACGCCGTGTAGTTGGCCGGAATCTTCGGGAGGTCATCGATGTCACGCAACTTCGTCGCCGGAATTGCCGCCATATATATCTCTCTCTCTCTCTCTCTCCTCTTTTCTGGTTTGTGTTATTCAAGTGAGTGGGAGAATCAATCACAAGTCTTTTACACGTTGGTGAAGTCGAGAGGTAGGACGAAGCTTATATGGAGTGTGTGTGGCCGTTTTGGGTAAGCTATAATTGCCACGTGGCGTTTTCTGATTTTCCCGGTTTTATTATATTTTGTTGGCGAACCGGAAAATACCCAAATTAATTTGGAACTGAACGAATTTGTAAGGTCGTCGATGCAAATTGAGGATGAGACTGTCACTGTTTAAAAAAAAAAAAAAAAAAGAAACACGCTACAAAATAGCCATTTATTGGCTCATTGCGGAATTGGTAATATATCTTCTTTTTTAAAGTAAAAATAGCGATATAAAAATTTAAAATTAGTCATCAAAACTGAATTTGGTTATTTTGAATTTCTAAATCACTATTTTTAAAAATTCAGTCTTGATGACTAATTTGTAAAGCAAAAACCAGATAATCAAATCTATCCATTCCAAATTGGACATGTCTATCCTCTCTATCAACTAAATATAATTCTTGTAGTTTTAACTAAAATCGCCGATCTGTTTTAGTTTTGAGTATTTCCGCCCAACAAATAATAATAAAGTTTCGATATAGATATTTTTAATGATTTATTTTCAGTCTTAGTGTATATTTTTATTATTAGATCCGTGACCTAATCATTTTTCCATAATCCTTATCCATCTCATTAAAAGACTTGAGAGCCCTTCTACAACACTTGACTCGGAAATCTGCTTTACTTTGAACGAAACAATTACTTTCTATATTATCTACCAACGCTTGACTAACGTAATTTGCTTTGAATGGTAGTCAATTTGATGGCTTTGAAGTTTGAATAGTAATCTGCGGTAAATGCATTATTACACATTTTCTACATTTAGAAAACTAAATCTTAAAACTGATATTATCGTTTATCATTCTTCTTTTTTTGAAAATATAGTTTTAATGTTCAATTTATATTACTTTTTTTTTATCATACACTTGTATATATAGAATATTCTTCCTACAGAATACAGAAAATCTGGTGGTGTACGTATGCCATTATCTTTTCTTTTAATGTGGATCAGTGGGTGTAGAAAAATATCGAAACTGTACTAAAATTTACATCAAGTCCTTGCAAAACAAAACACATATATACAGATTACAAAACTCACATATTTTCCTCAAAATTAAGCCAAAGAACCACATCCTTTGAGAAAAAAAGAAAGTCTCATTCAAGACGATGAACCAGAGCTCGGAGGAACAGATGAGGAAGAAGAAGAGAAAGGCTCTTGATCGGCGCACGATAGAGTCTCATGAGGACCAGCCTCTTCTCTTCCAACGCCCATCAGATCTAAATAGTACAAGTAGTGAGAAACAATGTTATTCATCTCGTCGTTATCGAACCCGCTGCTGCACATCTGATCGCCGTGAAGAACGTTTATTGTGGCTCCGAACCCCGGTGATCGTTTCGCCGCCGTGTCGTTCTTTGTAGGCTTCCATTTTCCGACGAATACATCATGCGCCGACGGTAAATGTTTCTTCGGCGGCGTCATCCACCGCCAAATCGCAGCTTGAAATGCCAACGTCGCGTTGATCTCGAGGTACTCTGGATGACTCAATAAATCCACTTTCAGTGCCTCCCCGGTTTGACCGTAATTGTAATTCCTAACCAAGACCAACGAAACCGAAATTGTACCGAGAAATAAAATTAAACTTAACCGGAATCGTTGTAATTGAAACGACGTACCAGTAAACCGGTAAAGCTCCTCGACCGTGGTACGAGACTCCAGGAGTACAAGGATATGTTGACTTATAGTAATCATCGCAATAAAGCTTATCGGGACTCATCTCCTTGTTGTAACACAACCCCCAAGCTAATGGTCCGCCCGTAGCAACCCCGTACCCGCCTTCAAAACCGAAAATAACAATCCCGGTTAATTATTAGCGATTCAGTTACACGGTTGACTATTGATTAAACGGTTTAGCTGACTTGCATGAAGTTTTGCTTCCAACGTGGCCAAGAAACGCAGCGACTTCCTTCATTCCTTGAAGTTTATCTCCGGCGGTACCGAACCCAAGAGGCTGATACTCGGCGGCGGCGTTGATGAATGATCGGTAATCCCAAAAACCGACGGCGTGAGCAACAGGACTGTTACGTTTAGAGAATAGATTCTCGAATTGATAAGTGTCGAAAAAATCGGAGATTGTATGGTTACAACAATACTCGGACCATCCTTTACATTCCCATCCTTTGTCGCATAGCTTTTTCCCCTTCACGATCTTCACCAGCGGCTTTTTCGCTGAGCTCGAAGACTCCGAATCTTCAGCGTTGGCTAGAGATTTGGTCTGAAACACGAACAGTGCCACCGCAGGAAGCAGCAGGAAGAATAGCGGTTTTGAAAACATTGGTTGACCAATTTTTCGTCTTATTCTTTTTCTATCAGTGCGATCATATATTGTTAGTATAAATATATATATATACAAACACAAATGCATAGAGTAGTGTCGTGTTCGTTTAAGGAGGAACTGGGTTTTCGGATTTTGGTGGTAGGAGAAGAGTTGCTTTTGGAGGGGCTATTTTGCTTTGTTTTGAAGTTTCTTAGAGTGTAAGTTACATTGTTTAGAAGGTTGGTCGGAGCATGAATTCATAGCAACATAATTAGTATTTGGTTAGTATATATTACATATAATTTCATACACTTCAAAGATGAAAAATGGAGCGTGGTGGGAAATATAAAGTCACTGTAAAACTTAAAGATGAGAATGATGTAGGTCTTTGAAACCAAATTGATCAGCCAGACGCGGAAGCTGGAACCGAGTAAAACGGCTGGTCTTGATTGCCTGACACAAAACGCCGCAAGATTGAAGAGTCCATGCGGCATATATAAATTGCGTCGTTTACTTTTATCGTGTACGTATGTTATAATTTTTAAGGTGGCACGTAGATAATGATCAGTTTCGATCGGTTCGGTTCATAACTTATTTGATTTCATGCACCAGTCTCGTGGATGGCTTATTGTTATGCACCACAGAGAGGACTACATTAGACTCGTTGATTGGAATGATCCATATACCGGGTGGATCAAGCCAAAGAATAAGTATGGTTTCGTATCCAATAACAACGGATCCTCCCATAATTAAAAAAAATCGCGAGGGTTTCTTTTAGCTTGGATATGAGTTTGCTGAAATATCAAAGGAGGGCATTTTTAACCAATGTGGTCTACGACGCTGCGTTGTTGGAGAGGATGAGTTGATAGGAGAATAAGATATCGGAGAACCATCAACATCACAATCACATTGTCCAACTTTTTTCAGTCAAGACTCCAAGTTTGGTTGAAATCTAATACTTAAGAGGAGGCAAAAGAATACTCCAAGTTTGGTTGAAATCTAATACTACATAGGGGAGGCAAAAGAAAACGGTCGAGCCGTCGAGGTAATATAATTAATCAAAACAAAATAATGTAATTCTTTGTTTCCTGGAATATATAATCAGTGGATTGATTTTTTTCTTTGCCATGTTATCTTGTATATATTTATATTACTGCCATATATAATTTTCATTTTAATTTGTTGCACATGATTCTCATTTATCCTACGGAAGTAAATTATTGTTTACATATATAGATATTAAACTTCTCGTTAGGGGATGTAAACGGGCTTCAAATCTGTTATAATGCACACACAAGAAAACGTGTAAAGTAGACATTTTCAACAGTGAGAATTGAGTCACAAACGTGAACTCAATAAAAATTTTAAGATGTTGATATCATTAATCTCTGCAGAAAAGGATTACTAAAAAAACTCAAAAACCATCATCCCCCATACGTGTCGAGCTCAATTAATTTAGAATTATTTTCATAATAAGCTAGAATTTATGATTGGTTTGGTGGTTGATTCGCGTATAATAACTTTTTGGTGACAGCAATAAAAGAAAGAGAAAAAAATCATTTGTTGTCCGGCCGGTTTAGGAGACCGGTCTTTTCAATGTTTTCATTAGTTTGACTTTTCTCCGCCTCTCCTGAGACTGAGATTATCGCGTAATTGTCAGATTAATAGAGTGATGGGACGAAAAGAAATTGTAAAGATAATGAATAAAAAGGAGTGAAACCAAAAAATTAGGACCCACAATTAAATGATGACCATTATTATCACGCCACGTATCTACTAACCATTTTTGTTCGTACAGACGCTGCTGATAGTGAATGATCATTTTTAAAGCTCTGGTCTGGACGCTCTTTTATTTCCCTTTTATTAATCACTTTTCTAATTGTTCACATTTTGGAGTTACATACTTTGCCTCCCTTTTTTTAATATATATATTTTGATCCCGGAATTTTCATAGGTTTCAAATTAGTACCTCCCGTGATACCTTTAAACTAAGCATACTATAAAAAAGAGATCGTTAGTTAATTAATCATGAATTGTAAAAACAAATAAAAAAACAAAATATGTATTAGACTAGTATATTTCTGCTAATTATGTGAATGTTTTCATCTGAATGAAATGGAAACCGATCCAAACCAATTAAAAACCGACTTAAAAATACAAATCCCAAATTTCTATAAAAGCCAAGAGATTTGCAATAGAAAAAAATAGTTGGGGGTCTAAACTGCAAATTATAAAAAGATTCCAACTTTCTGATAAGAGAAGAAGTCATTAAAAAAAAAAACCCTTAAAAATTAGCAGAACATTTCGTTATTTTATTTTATTTTTATTATATAATTCCGGGGACCAGCGAAGCTCTCTAGCATTCTCAATTTTTCTTCGTTTTTCTCCCGACGAAAACTAGGACCAGATAAAACTCTCTACTTTTTGACTTGTACTTCACTTTCTTAGGCTTATTCGTCGGTGTTTTGCTTTCTGTTTCGGTAACAAGCTTGGAACGAGCCTGAACCAGGATGGACGGCGACGGCGACGGCTCCGGCAGACTTATCGGCGCCGAGATTCATGGATTCCATACCTGGCAAGGTACCAGCCCAGCTCTTGATTTCTGGAAACTAGTTTAGTTCTTTCTTTGACTTCTTTGATTCGTCAATCGCTTGACGATTGTGGGTTCGTTCTTTGGCGTCTTTCAGTGTGTTGTTGGTTAATAATTGTCTTTTTTTTTTTTCTCTTTTTTTTTTAATCTTTGGGTTTTTGGAGTTTATTACATTTTTTTTGTATTGTATAGGTGACGTGGCAGTTTTGTTCCTTTGCAGCCATTGAAGTGGAAATTGCAGTTTGTGTGAAAAAGTTTGGAATTTTAAACAGCTTTTGACATTTGTTGAAACCAGTGTTTTGAATTGTTGATGATCCATAGATTTCAGAGGTTTTTCAGAAGGAAGCTATGGAGTTATGTGTTATGCTTAAAGAAAGTTTACTTTGACATGTTGAATTTGTACTAATCTCTGCTTTTGAGTTTCTGAATATTTGTAGTCTTTGACATATTTTCTGGTTGTGTGTTTGCAGATCTTGATTTCCAGACAATGTTGGAGGAAGCAAAAAGCAGGTGGCTCCGGCCAAACGAGATCCACGCAGTACTCTCCAACCCTAAACACTTCACCATCAATGTCAAACCAGTGAACTTACCAAATAGTAATCATTTTGTTTCTACCACTCAGCAGTTTAGGACATTTCTTTAATTTTTCCATCATTGTTCTTATGTTGCTTATTCTGTAGGTGGCAGGATTATATTGTTCGATCGTAAGATGTTGAGGAACTTCAGAAAAGATGGCCATAACTGGAAAAAGAAAAAAGATGGAAGGACAGTTAAAGAAGCTCACGAACACCTGAAAGTGAGTTTATTTCATAGCTTAAATGGTAAAAGCTCTCATATCATGGACTTGTTTCTTTTACACATGCTTGATAATGCCCTTTGATTGATGCTAGGTTGGTTACGAGGAACGGATTCATGTATACTACGCGCACGGTGAAGATAACACTACCTTTGTTCGAAGGTGTTATTGGTTACTAGATAAGTACGTAGTAAGCAAACATCTCTCACTTGTTGTCTTACAACATGCCATTTGAGAAACCACTTTGACTGGATCCCTTTTTCTTCCTGATGAAAGTAAATAATCATCTCTTCTTGTTCATGTCAGGGCTCGAGAGAACATCGTCCTTGTACATTACCGTGATACTCAGGAGGTTTGTTCTCAACTCACTCTTGTCTTGAAATGGGATGATGCTCTCTTCCGACATTATATAGTCATGGTCTGTTCCACTGGTAGGCTTATTTGAAGCCCTTATCAGAAATTTCAATTGGTGAAACTGATATATGTTTCAGGCAGCTACGACATCAGGGGAATCAAACTCTCCAATCTCTGTCTCTAATCATTCATCCCCAAAGCTTGTGGCACCTGAAGATATTGATTTTAACGCTGATAACTCTCGTTATCTAGGTGAGAAATCATCTTTTAAATTATCTTTGTCAGTTTTTCTACTTACCACTTACATTAACATTATAGCACTATGGATTTGCGGTTTACAAATTTTGCAAACCTGCTCTGAGTTCTTCATTTGAACACTCATCAAGCTTTCTTTTGGTGTCTCACAGTAAGAAACAACAGTCGAGTTGTTAGAAATGACGAGACTAGGCTTCATGACATCAATACGCTTGATTGGGATGAGCTGCTAGTACAAACTGGTCTTAACAACCAATCTGAACCAATCGTAGGTATAACTTATACATGAATTGAGCAGATTCTTCAAAGATATCCGAATATCAGTTTGTGAAAGTTAACATACATTCTCTCTCTGTGGTCAGATGATTTGTCATACTTCACAGAGCAGCTCCAAAATCCTGCAAACGGCTCTGCAGAGCATGTGAATGTGACAGTGGCTGATGAATCTCTTGATGCTTTGCTTAACAATGGTCCACACAGCCGAGAGAGTTTTGGACGGTGGATGAATTCATTCATCGGAGACTCTAATCATTCGCTGCAGGATCCTTCCTTTGAAGCCATGGCTACACTTGAGCAGGATCCAATAGCTCCTCAAGCTTCATTTCATCCTCACTCCAACAACGTACCTGAGCAAGTCTTCAACATAACAGAGGTTTCACCTACTTGGGCCTATTCGTCAGAGAAAACAAAGGTATATTAACTGGAATGAATCATAAGAACAGGATTTTCATGTTTGAATGTCAAATGAAAATACTAACTTTGTTACATGTTGATTCTTGCAGATTCTGGTGACCGGGATCTTGCACAACAGCTATCAACATCTCGGAAGTTCAAACCTTTTCTGCGTTTGCGGCGACTCGTGCGTCCCTGCGGAATATGTCCAGGCGGGTGTCTACCGTTGCTTCATACCTCCGCACTCGCCTGGCATGGCGAACCTCTATCTCAGTGCAGACGGGAACAAGCCAATAAGCCAGTCTTTCAGCTTCGAACACCGTTCATCCCCAGTTTTTGGTAAGACCGTCGTCCCTGAAGACGATCAAGAATCCAAATGGGAAGAGTTTGAGCTCCAAGTCAGGCTCGCTCATCTTCTCTTTACCTCTTCCAACAAACTCAACGTTCTCTCGAGCAAGGTCTCGCATGTAAACCTGCTAGACGCTAAAAAGCTCGCCAGCAAAACTTCTCATCTCTTAAACAGCTGGGCTTATCTGATCAAGTCCGTTCAAGGGAACAAGGTCTCGTTTGATCAAGCGAAAGATCAAATCTTTGAGCTTACTTTAAAGAACAGGGTTAAGGAATGGCTAATGGAGAAAGTGCTCGAAGGTCGCACCGCTCTCGACTACGACTCCAAAGGCCTCGGTGTGATCCACCTCTGTGCCGTTCTTGGATACACTTGGTCGATCCAGATGTTCTCATTGTCAGGTTTGTCGTTGGATTTCCGTGATAAGCAAGGATGGACTGCTCTTCATTGGGCAGCATACTACGGGAAGGAGAAAATGGTGGCTGCTCTTCTCTCTGCTGGAGCTAAACCGAACTTGGTGACAGACTCGAGAAAGGATAATCTCGGCGGATGCACGGCGGCTGATCTTGCGCAGCAGAACGGGTTCGATGGCTTAGCTGCTTATCTTGCTGAGAAATGTCTGGTGGCTCAGTTTATAGACATGAAAATCGCCGGAAACATTAGTGGAAACCTTGAGGCTTGTAAAAGTGAGATGTCGAACGGAGGCGCTCTCCCCGATGATGAGCAGAATCTCAAGGACGCTCTGGCTGCATACAGAACAGCCGCAGAGGCAGCGGCTCGGATCCAGGGAGCGTTTAGGGAAAAGGCGTTGAAGGCGGCGCGGTCAAGCGTGATCCAGTTTGCCAACAGGGAAGAAGAGGCGAAGAGCATAATAGCGGCGATGAAGATCCAGAGCGCGTTCCGGAAATACGATACGCGCAGGAAGATTGAAGCGGCTTACCGGATTCAGTGTAGGTTTCAAACTTGGAAAATGCGAAGAGAGTTCTTGAATATGCGGCGTCAAGCAATTAGGATCCAGGTATGCAGTGTGGAGGATAAGACTTGTGTTAATGCAATAACAAAGACAGAAGAAAAAAACGGTTTCTTTCTTTGTATTTTTCGCAGGCTGCTTTCAGGGGATTACAGGCAAGGAGGCAGTACAAGAAGATACTATGGTCGGTAGGAGTGTTGGAGAAGGCAGTTTTCAGGTGGAGACAAAAGAGAAAAGGGTTAAGAGGACTCCAAGTGAGCCAAGCTGAAGCAGAGGAGGATCCTCCTGGTGAGGCAGAGGAAGATTTCTACAAGACGAGCCAGAGACAAGCAGAAGAGAGGCTCGAGAGATCTGTAGTAAAGGTCCAAGCCATGTTCAGGTCTAAGAAGGCTCAACAGGATTACAGGAGGATGAAACTCACTCATGAAGAAGCTCAGGTGAAAAAATGTTTTACTGCTTTTTTTTTTTTCATTTTTGAATCTCTCGGTTTAAGGAGAAGTTGAATCTCTCAGCTTTGAAACACTAAACGGAGAATCATTATTGATGGTGTGATGCAGTTGGAGTACGAGTGCCTGCAAGATATTTGATCAAAATGGCTATGGAGAGAGGTGAATCCAAGAGAAGTTAATATTGATATGGTGTTGATCTGTAAATTAAGTGAACGGAAAAGGCTACTTTCGACGTTCCCCGAAACTGGTTTAAGTATTACATAACTAGGCCAATCTCTGTTTTGGTTGGTGTATGGCTGGGAAAATAAGAAACAAATTTAACGCATAGTAGATAGATACTAGATATAGCTATATGTCTAGTTCTATAATTGGGTTCCTCTGTGACCCGTTCTCTAAATCTAGACTTTGCACGCTTGTAGAATACAACTGCTGTATAAAAGTATTCCTAAATTGGAAGTCATGTCATGTCTGTATCTCTTTTGAAGTACATAATGGCCAGAAAGTGATTTCAATTATAGAAGAATCTTCCAAAGTCCTTTATTAGTTTTCAGTTGAAATGAAATATCGAAAATAAAGAACCTCTTATACAAATATGATACTAACATAGAGATGATGGAGGGGATGCCAATTCTTTTTGATGGCAATACTTATTTACCAAAAAAAGAATTTGAGATCACCATATTTCTCAACTGAAGATTGTATGGACAATGCACATGACATATCATATATATATACTTACAAGTTTTGACATGTCTCATTAGTATTTGCTTGCTCCTAAAATTCTTTTGTTTTCTGCGCTCATTAAAAATATAATTATATATACACAATATACTACAGTACTTACTCAAAAACAATATAGTACTTACTCAAAAAAAAAAAATATATATATATATATATATCTGAGGTGTATTACCGTTTGATATCTTAAAACCAATTTTTTTTCACCAGGTCATATGGCTTTTGTTTTTATCATCTTTAGATTTACTTTCCTTGTAATAACATGTTAATTTCTGATGTCTTCTTCTTGTTGTCTTTTGCAGTTGAGTGAGATGGTTTACAATCTTCAAGATGATGTTGAACATTATCCAGGTTTGTGATAGGAAGATTCAAACGTGTTTGGCTTTGAATAATGTTTCACCTTCTTCTTCTTCAGATAGTGTTGATTGGCGAGTATTAATCAACAAAAGGACTAGAGAAAATACCCCCATGCAGTATTCAAAGGGCAGCATCTATAATAAATAGAAAATGATTCAGTTGAGGAAATGGAAATAAAATTTCCTAAGCAAATCTAATGTTTTTGTACCAAATCCGTAAAACTATGATTTCTTTGTTTTTTAGTTTTTTTTAGATAAATGATTCAGATAGATCTTGATGTATTACAGAAATCAAGAGATAACTGACTTAACTTTAAAAATGTAGACTTCACTGAGTAGGATTGTATCTATAAATGCACGAAGCTAAAGATAATATTGACTGGGAAGATTTGGTAATCTACAAAAGGACTTATGAAAACCACTCGATGCATTATTCAAAAGTCAGCATCGAGCTCACTCCTATTGCTGAGGGATTGAAAACCACCTATGAGAGAAGAGCTACTCTACCAACCTGTAGAAGAGTAAGTATAAGTTTTAAATTAATTTTTTGGTTTTCTTAATTATTTTCTCAGATTTGTATGTACGTTGACATTTGGACACATGTCAACTATTGAGGCACTTCAGATCAGTTTCCATTCCGACAGAAATACGATGTAAAAATTGGTAATATGTTGAATATTTAAATTTGGATTATTTTTTTAAATAATGGCCCAAGGCCTACGCAAAATTATGCCTAGTATAAGTCAACAGTTAGCAGTAAAAATCAAAACTGTTAGGTATAAAAGAAAATCCTACACTTTACAAATCCGAAAAAAATTCCAAATTTAATTTCATATAAAAGTGAAAGAAAATTTTTAAGTCTTTTTCTCGTGATTCAGCTCACGAAATGGAACAAATTTTGCCTACAAACGATGAAATTTCCTAAGCAAATTCAATGTTTTTGCACCTAAATTTTAAGTTACGGAATGTTGCTACAAACACTTAATTTTGAGGCTTATGTTTAGTAACAAGAATTTCTATAGTTTATTGTTTATAAGGTTAAAGTGTGTATTATAGATGAGTTTAGCACCCCTCATAAAAGTTTTTTTATAAATTAAGCAAAAACCTATTTAAAAACCTAATTTCGGTTTGGTTAAGCTGGAAAATTCCAAAATTTATTCGAATTCCTGAAGAAAAGGAAAGAGGATCCCGAGAAGAATGAAAATTATCTATATCCCGAAAAAGAAGGATTTGTCTTTGACATTGCCTTCGTTTAATATAAAAAGAGAGCCTCTCCTCGAAGAAGAATTCATTCACAACTTCGAACTTGATATCTAGAACAATTCATAGCTTTCTGCTTTCAGTTTTAGATCTCGACTCATTCTCTTTTACTTTATGTTAGCGTTCTTTTTCGATCACTTAAATCTTTTGTACTTTGCAAACTCTGGCTAATATTAATAAAAAAACTTTAGTTTTTACTCTTACAATTTTTTTATTTTTTCTAAGAGACATATTGAGATTTTACAATATAGACTTCTAGTGCTTCTTGGGACTACCCCTAAATGTAAATCTCTACTTAGTAGTATATTTTGAAGTTGATACATATATAATATGATGCAATAATCTAATTAGGTTTCGTACTTTGGTAGACCGTTGTTTTTGCTCTTCTTGAAATGCTGCGTAAAATATTACAATGGTTCATATATACATGCCTAAAATAATGTATTAACTTTCAGTCTTATTCTTACAAGTCTATTTATAAATATAATGCGTGAGGTTTGGTAGATTATTCGTTTTACCAATTACCTACTTTACATACTTTCCGCTGCCTTAAAGTAAAATAAAAATCCAGTAAACTTTAAAATATTCTCTTATAGAAGCCTAAATACGGAGTAGTCAGGCCCAATAAGCTTTACAAAGTTTTGCTACCCGCCAGATTTCCTTGTTTAAGCTCCATCATTACTCAAGTAACTTTTGTTATGCTACATCAAACAAGGAAGCTTGAATGAGAACAGCAACTACTATCATCATTGAATGTGCAGACTACGGCTAGAGGCGAAGAAGGAATGACACTCTTCTTTGTCTGCTGCAACCCGAATTGTGGTAATCGCTGAAGAGAATAGAGAGAGAGAGAGCCTTTTTTCGTTTCAGTTTTTCAATCATCAACCTATGTTTTGATGAGTTTCTCAAGAGTTCAGGACATTGATATTTCGTGTAGTTGTGAGATGTGGAATGATGGCAAGAACATTATGCTCTAGACAGTGACAATCCGATCTTGGAGCAACTCATCGTGTCACACGATGAGAAACAGCATTTTAATAAAAAGAGACAAAAGCAAAATCTCTCGAAATCACACTCGCAAATTTGTCTTCCATCAACAAACACAAAAGAAAAAACTTGTTTCTCTTTGGAATGGAGAGCCAAAGTAAAAGAAAGCAGAAGCCACGTTGAGAAACCAGCAACTGTCGAGATACAAAGTCATAACCGAAGAAGACGAGAAAAGAAAACAGTAGATAAACAAATTAAGAGATTAGACTGTGTTCTTCTGGTTGCCTAGTGGTGCAGCTTTGCTTGAATTTCACAGAGCTTGGAACATAAGAGCACGCAAGTGGCCAATAATGTAGTCCCGGTGCAGATCCGCCGAGTTCAACTCTTTTGAAGTATCCGTTCTTGCCAATGATGTAAGCCACGTTGCAACTAGCGCAAGATTTACCTCTGTATTCTACATTAAGAACCACCGCGACCTTCTTCTTCTCGTCAACGAAGAAACTCCCACCGCGTTGCAGAAACTGAAAACCGATTAATGGTTTCATATCAACCGCTAAGAGCCGCTTCTTCCACGACACTGCATTGGGCTCAATCTTGCTACTAATCCATATCTCGACGGGGTATTTACAAGATTTCTGAAACAGCACCGCGAGCTTTTTCTCTCTGACACTAGACAGAGCCACTGTGTTTCTAAAGGAGTGGAAAGGCAGAGGCAGGCACGGTCCAAATCTCTCGGCTGTGAAATCAAAACAGAGCAAGAAATCAGGGAGATGCGATGCTGGAGGATGCTTCCCTTGTGCATACCAGTAAGTGTTTCCTTTGAGAGACACGCCACGCTGAAGATACCCTATCTCCCAGTCCGGATTCACATCAACAACCTTCCACGAGTTAGAGCTTAAACTGTAGATTTCAAACTCACAAACTGTGCGATCCACACTCCGGTCATAACCATCCATAAATCTCAAGACTTTGTAGCTGCGGCGCGAGTACGTGTCCTTCTTCTCGTATCCCAGAGCATACCTGTCCCCTATCTTGTAAGAGCTCCTGGGTTTGATCCACCTTTTCTGCCCACTATAAGGGTTCCAAACAACGAGCCTAGATCTGTCCTTGGTGACGCATAGCAATAAGCCGTCGCAGTGAAAGACTTTAGATATCTCAACTCGTTCTGCACCGTCTAGGCTAACGAGTTTACCTATACGCTCTATAGACGGATCCTTGAGGAGTTTGACGCTGTATAAATAAACATTGTATTTGAGCATCATCACCACCTGAAACTCCTTCCTCTGTTTCTTCTTTGCTGCTGCTTTCGCTTCGCCGACATGCTTCTTTGTAAAGCTCCGATTTTTCGTTAAAAGGTTCCACCTTTTGCAGCTAAATCGCACTCCTCTCAGAGATGTCACAGGAAGCCTAGAGAGCACCTCTTCCGCCATATCCCTTGGAAGATCGGATATCATCGTCGTTATTGTTTCAGCCATGATCGAATCTCTAGTGCCACAACCTTCCAAATCACTATCTCTTCTCTTCGACCGCTTCCTGATATATAAATCACCTCAGATAATATATATATGTACAGGTCATACTTTTTTGTGCGGAAAGTTAGGGTTTTTAGGGTTCTATGTAGTATAGGAGAGATTAGTCTTGTCACATGATGAAATATCATTATAAAGAGGCAAAAGCAGAATCTTTCGAAATCATAACCCCATATTTGTCTTTCACACACAGACACGCACACAGAAAGAGCAAAGTGAGAAACATCTGTACCGAAAGATTTGCTACTGTCCTCCACGACTCATCTCCCAGAAGGCGACCTCCTGTTCAAGAACAAGAACAAGTACATCCTCAGCTTCGGCAAGAGCTTCCCCGGAAGCATTCGCCAGACAACGTTCGGCGACGTTCTTGACAGACGAACAGTACTGTTTAAACCCGTCGTTTCCCCATCTATGGCAAGCTCCGGTCAACTCCGCCGGAGTTTTGTTCCCGTTTTCTAAACAGTGAGCGAAGCTCTCTTGGTACACTGCTTCGATTGCCCAGAAAGCTGTCATCAACACTGGATACTTCACTTCACTGCTCATCAGAGCTTCCAGAATCCTTGAATTAACCAGAAAAAAAATTCATTGGTCTCTGTCTGGTTTCACAATTTCGAGTTTTGAGTCTCTTAAAATCAACAATATATAAAAATCGAGTACCTGCCATATTCCTGATTAGCTTTTTGAGGCACAACGGTCGAGAAATCAACATCCCATTTCGATCCTTCGCTTTTAAACCACTCGATTTCGTCATTCAACGACGCCAAACCCCCAAGCACGACTTCCATGTCGGAAGTCTCGCCGGCTTCTTTGCCGGCTCTGATCAGAACATTCGCCACGAACGGCACGAATCCCCTCACGAACAGATAGTCTTGCCCCTGCAACAGATAAAGTTTCCGTCTTTTTAAATTCATCGAGTGAGAGAGACTCAGATTCTTCTTGGGTTTTGCTGCTCAGTAACTAATTACCATACCAGCCAAGTTCTGAAGGACGAGAGAGCAACCGATCCGTCGCGGATGGAGGCGACGAAGGCATGGCGTGTAGCCGCCGTGTAGATCGAACGATGCTTATCAAGCCACGTGTCTATCACCCCTTTCTTCTCCGGTTTCTCCATTGAAATTGCTTCTTCTTCCTTTGTCAACGATTTTGACTTTCTCTACTCTGTAGCGTGCACGTTATATTGGGCTTTATTTAATGGCCCAAGGCCCATTAGATTCAACCAAATCGACGGCAGTAAAGACACGATTTAAAGAACGTCGATTACGTGGCAATTTCTCAACCGCTAATGTGCTTGGGTGACTAAAGTTTAACTATTCAGAAGCTGTCACGTCACCTATCACTAGTTAAAGAGTGATGACGTGGAAACTATTTCCGAATTAATTTTTCAGTTGTCTTTCTCACCGTATTCAATCTCCACATGTAGTTTGTTTGTGCGAATCCTAATTTGCGTGTTTTAGTTAATTTTTCTTTTAAACGGATCGGGCCGAGCGAACTCCGGCGGCGGATTATATTCTCCGGCGAGATCTGCGACGATACGATGTCGGATGAGAAGTATAACCGGAAGAATCCGGCGGTGAAGAGGATTTTGCAGGAGGTTAAGGAGATGCAAGCAAACCCGTCTGATGATTTTATGTCTCTTCCCCTTGAGGTAACAAACATATCAGTAATCGCCTTATTTATCCACTTCGAGCTTTCGAGATCGGAGATGTTTGATCGAATCGATATTATAAACTATTTCTCTCTCTCTCTCTCTGTTTCTAAAATTCAATTTCTGATTCTGTAGATCTAGAAAAAAGGTTGTTTTGTGCTGAGTTGTATCGTAATTTGTGTGAATTTTATCCAGGAGAACATATTCGAGTGGCAATTCGCCATAAGAGGACCTGGTGACACTGAATTTGAAGGCGGGATTTATCATGGGAGAATCCAGCTGCCTGCAGATTATCCTTTCAAACCTCCATCGTTCATGTTATTGACCGTAATGATCTTATAACTCGTTCTTTCACACACATAGAGAAACAAGATGAATCTGTGTCTTATGAATCTCTTTTTTGTTTTGCCACTCAGCCAAACGGTCGTTTTGAAACCAATACCAAGATTTGCTTGAGCATTTCGAATTACCATCCCGAGCATTGGCAACCTTCATGGAGTGGTAAAGTCACTGACTTTTTATGTTTCCTTATATCTCAAACTGTTACCTTTGCAGTTCAGACATTCAGACACATGGTTGAGATTTGTTTCCTTTTGCAGTTCGGACTGCTTTGGTGGCTCTCATTGCCTTCATGCCTACAAGCCCTAACGGAGCATTGGGCTCAGTGGATTATCCAAAAGAAGAGAGACGTACGCTTGCCATTAAATCGCGTGAGGCACCACCCAAGCATGGCTCTCCTGAACGTCAAAAACTTATTGATGAGGTATAACATCCTTTTAAGTTTTGAACCACTATGCATAATGTTTTGGTGATGATACATGATGCATAATATTTTCAAACTAATGTACTGTAAATAATCTCCATTTGATTTAGTTCTTGGCTCTTTCTTCATGTACTTGATATGGCCTATTTATGATTCGTCAATTTTAGTAATCATGTCCTTTTAATAAGCGCAGATTCATCACTACATCCTTAGCAAAGCGACCGTTGTTCCAAAACCCACTCCACTGGAATGTAACCAAGCAGCTTCCACTGAGTCAGAAGCTCAGTCCCAAGCCGCTCCACAGGAAGCCATAACTGTATCGGAGGAGCGGCCCATCGCTACAACAGACTCCGTATCTGATGATCAAATCATCGAAGAGGCACCTGAAGCAGTCAGTATAGCAGCAAACGTGAGTACCACTGCGGGAGCGATAGCAACCGTTGAGATTGCAGCAAAAGCTTCTGGAAGTGGTGAGCAAACGATGGTCAGAAGAGCGGCTCAGAAGCCAGTCGATGACAGACTCTTCACGTGGGCTGCGGTTGGGCTAACAATCGCAATTGTGGTTCTTCTCCTAAAGAAGTTCATTAGATCAAGTGGTTATGGTGCTGGGCTTATGGATGAGTCTTGAAACCAAACCAAAGTAGACGGGGAAAAAAGTCAAAGCTGATCGATGAATGAATGTGTGAAACGTTCTATGCTGCTTTTGGTAAAATGGGGTTTGGTCGTTTGATATATATGTTATGATTGTGATTAAAGTGCATAAAATGGGGTAAATAATTATGTGTGACATTGTCTTGCAACTTAGTTGGTAGATTCGACTATATAAATTGTGACCAAGTTAACAACAATATTGTATTTTGAATCTGAATTTAATACAGCAAGCTTTTTTACTAGAACTTGATATATGATTTATCCAATTTTCTCATAACTATTTCTCATTTTGATATCAATACTCGATACATTCTCTCGCAAGGTGAACATTCACAAGTTTAACATTTTAAGAAGCGTTGATCATATATATATATATGCATGTATATGTCTTGTGGTGCATTTTCTTTATGAATTACAGAAACATAATTAATTTGTTGTATAGCTGTGTGTATTTTTCTTTATATATTACCCAAACACATTAATTTGGTGTGATCCACAGGGTGATCTCAGCTTCGTACCATAGTTTCAACTTTTCAGTTTCTAGAGAAAAAGTTCTGCATTTGACCTTTGACTACCACAAATTATAACGTGGAGAAAAAAAAGTTACCGAGAGGTTTATTTAGTTAATTAAGCGTGTAAAAAAGTTGCCTCGTTTAACGTTGCCTTAATTTAATATATAAAGTTCGCTGTTATATAAGACAAAACACAAAAAAGGAAAGTTTGAAGTGTCCTTTGGCCACATCAGGGTTTCTCAGGTACTAAAACCAGCATTCTGCTTTTGCGTGTCTGTGAAGTCAGTTTTAACAGCTCTTATTTCTTTCTATTACCCATAAAAAATCAGTAGAAATAATCACTATGATTTAATACACGGATGCTTTTTCACAACTAGGCTTTCGAAATTGATGGGAAACGCAAAATACTTTTAACAGGAAGTACGAGACACACTTTTCTCATTTAGAAGACCAGAGAGAGAGAAACAGAGAAAAGCAGAGGGAGAGAGAAAGAGACGAGGAAGTAGAAAGTGAAGAGAGTTTGGGTTTAGATAGAAGAAGTTGTTGAAGGAGAGACAGAGAGAGAGAGATGGGTAAGAACAGAGGTTTTGGTCGGATTAAGGAAGAACGGAAGAACTTGAGCTTCTTCAAGATTTTCCAGGGTGCAGATTTATCCTCCGAATGCATGGTAACTTTGTTCTAAACCTCATCTTGTCCTTAACTTTGTGATTTTCTTGATACCTTTTGTTCAAAAGTGGAACCTTTTCGTTTTTCAAATTTTCCTTTCTTTTGTGTTTAATGGGTTTATAGTCAAAGGTTTAAACTTGCGGGTTGTCTTTGAAAAGTTAAATTTGTTGGATCTCTTAAATATTTTATGTTCTGTGTGTTTGAAACGTTGAATATGTTGGTTCTCTGGTGTTTAGTGGGTCTTAACTGTGTTTTGACTTTTGAATAAGTTGTTTGAACACCCACTGTTTGAATAGTAGAATCTTTTGGTTGTCTGTGTTCCATAAAAGGTTAAATCTTTCCACTGCTTTTGTCTCTTTAAGGAAGTATCTTAAGTTTGTTCACTCTGTGTGTTTGATAAAAGGTTAAAGTTTTTGTTTCTCTGCATCTATTTTCTCGATCTCTTCTTGTTCTAGATCTGTATGATGATAAGAGCAACTTGGTTGAAAGATTGAAACTTTGGAGAAATTCTAAACTGTTTTTAACATTCTTCACTGTGTATGTTCTTCAAATCAGAGAGCGCTTCCGTACAGCTTCATGAAAAGCATCTCTAGCAGAGAGTTTACCTACAAGATGGTGATAAGAGCGCAGTGGGGAAGCTCATGGGAAGTAGCTATCTCCAAGAACCCGAGATTCCACTACATGGACAAGCTTGGGTGGAGCCAGTTCGTGAGCGACAACGCCTTGGGAGAAAACGAGTTCGTTACCTTCACTCACACAGGACACATGTGCTTCAACGTCAACTTCTTCGAGCAGAACGGCAAGGAGCTTGTCGTTCCTAGAAAGCCCCCGTCAATGGCTCCTTCCAGTAAGTTTTTTACCTTTGATTCTTTATATGAAACAGAGGAGATGGAGAAGAAAAATCAATTATTTGCTTTGATGATCTAAACCAACTCTTTGCTTTGGTGATGAAAAACAGGTGGGATCAAGAAAGAAGAAGGTGAGAGCAGCTACATGAATGTGAAGAAGGAAGATGAAACGGGTGAATCTGTGGGAGGAGTTGAGCTCGACGCCAGAAAGAGGAAGGCTGTGGAATCCAAAGCATCCAAGATGAAGAAGAGCAAGAGCAAGAAAGTGGTGACTTCTGTGGAAATAGGTGAATCTTCACGAGAAGCTGAGTACAAATTCAAAACATCCATGAAGAAGAAGAGAAAGATAGAGAAAGTGACGAATGGTGTTCCAACCTTCAAAATCACCGTAAGGAAATCATACCTCAAGTTCCTGGTGAGTTTTAACACCAAAGGCTCCACAAATTTAAACAACCGTCTCTCTGTACTGGTTATACGTTAAATCTCTGACTTGACTTTTTTTGATATATATCAGGCAATCCCAAAGCGTTTTGAGGAGAAGCATGCCCCTAATGAGTCTAAGGTGTTCACGATACATCACTCGGAAGGGAAAGGTTCATGGAAGGTGCTTTGCTTGGTGAGGCAGGCTCGGACAATCTTCTCAAGTGGGTGGTCGAAGCTTGCAAGAGAGTTCCCTTTAAACATCGGTGACAGGTGCACCTTCCAGCTCATCGAACCCACCGAGCTTCTCCTTACCATCAAGAAGGACAGATAAAGGAGAGATCACTATGATTGACTGATGCATGAATGTGTTAAGTGTCTTGCTTTCTTATAATCTATGGAGACAATATGATAAGTTTAGCTATTGTGTTTGTTTTCTGTGTGCTGTGTTTGTTTCCTTGAGACTTTAAACTGGCTTTTATCTGTTTTATAACATTAGTGTTGAGACTTTATGCAGAATCAATGTTTCAGTAACAAAGTTGTTTACTGCCTTAATTGTCATTTACTTTAGCAGAGAAGATAGAAAGCCATGCTTGTCTCAAAACATAAGTTTGTTGTAAACTTTGAAACCTCTTCTCCAAAATATACTAATTGAGGGATTGATAAAAAAAAAACACATTGACATGATTGAAATCAGTTGGTCCGAAACTCAAAATAGAGTATAGTTTTATTAGAAAGGTGAAGATATTGTTTTTTTTTACGCATAAAAGATAAAGGATGCACTCATAGACAACATTACATGGCACACAACAGTTAAAAGATACAAATTCACACACATAGCCGGTGCAATGGCGTGAAGATCAAGACAAAGATCAGTTGTGAGACTTCACGACGGTCACAGGGCATGTCACGCTGTTCACAACATGGTTGCTTACGCTTCCCATTATCATCCTGCAAGAAGAAAAAACAGTTTCTTCCATACTTTACAATCTGAACAAAGTTTGAGATCTTTAAAAATTGGAGAAAGAATCGAAATATCTAACCTCTTAAGGCCACCAAGGCCTCGGTTACCAATGACAAGGCTTGAGAGAGGAATATGTTCAACTGCTTCACATATCTTCTCACGAGGGTCTCCCCAATATATCTTCATCACTACTATTATCTGCTCATGTTTCACAATAGTTGGCTCTTCATTTCACAGAAACATAACACTTATTGGTAAATAAAGTTTCGTTCATATGGATTGAAATGTTTTTTTTCTCTTGGTCAAAACTCACCAAGTCAACATAAACATCTAAGTTTCATTCATATGGATTGAAATGTTTTTTTCTCTTGGTCAAAACTCACCAAGTCAACATAAACATTTCGATGAACTTTTTAATACTATGATATTTATAACATTCATTAGCTATCAACAGTTGGAAAAATCACTAACCTGTTGAATCATATAATTAACATTCGGGTTCAGGTTTTAAGTCGGAGACAGTGTTTAAGGACTATGTTGCAACTACTATATTACTTGAAAGAAAGATCCAAAACAAAAGGGAAACAAGAAGCTCACCGATTTCATCCTAGCGGCTGTGTTAGCGATGTCAAGGGTTTCAGCATCTGGCTTCACTCCATACTTCTTCATCACAGCAGCGTCAGAGAATTCACTCAGAGGAATCAGAGCTGAAATGGTTTACAACATAAAACCAGAGTCAAACAACAACACGATGACCAAGAGCAATAGGATTCATATAACACGATCTACTACCACTGAATATGCAAAATAAATCAGAATCAATTGAAGATTTAACAAAAGACGAACATCAAGTCAAACGATGGCAGAGTAAGTTCAAGTTCCTTCAACACAGAGAGATTTGATAGATCAGATAAAAGCTAAACGAATTAGAACTGCAAAACCCCTAAAACCGACACCGAACGCGATTTCTATGAAGCACGAAGGCATTTTCTCTTCTTTTAATCTCCAGGAAAGAAGACGAAGAGGCAAAAACAAAAAGAAAAGCAAAGATAATCAAAGCGTACGCGATCCAACGGTCTCCCAGAGCTGCATCTCGCCTTCCTCGTAGTTCATCTCGTGAGCGACGGTGATGAGGATTAGATAATCGCCCTCGCGAACGACGTTGTCGATCGCCCAGTTCAGAGCCTTCTTGCTGCACTCCGAGAAATCCACCGCCACTCCGATCCTCCGGCCACCACTCTCCGCCATACTCTCTCTCTCTCTCTCTCTGGATACCTTTTTCAACGAAAGCTGATTCTCTTTCTCTACCTCTCTCTCTCTCTCTGTGCAAAATAGCTCCACTCGAAGACAAATGGTGTCTGGTCGGGAAAGTTAGTCTAGATTAAATTCAACGATTGACAAACGAGATTATCGTCTGTAACGCTGTCCTATGATCTGTTTTACAATCCTGACCGTTTGATAAACTCTAAGACGATCGCAGCCTTAGAATTAGAACAGCTCACAAAAACAGTGGTAAATAAAATATCTTCACATAGAAAATGTAACGGACAGGAGAAGGTGCAGCCTGGGCCCACCCTTTTTAGAAAACAGACATCAAGCCACGTCCTTAATTCACTAATTTAACACGGTCAGATTCTCTTCTCTCTTTTTTATGACATAACAAATTGTTAACGGTAGCTTAAACTTTAAATCTTGAGAGCGCGGGTGATTTCCCAGCAAGTCGCCTCCGTCTCACGAGATAACCGATGGCGGGAACTCAAACTCCGGCCACCGCTGTTTGCTAAAGCCACAAGGAACCACTCGTTCTCCAATGAAGACGGATACATTAGCTGATCATCCTGAAATCAATATCACATTTTGCTTCTTTTGTTCAGTTTACTGCCATAGAATAAACAACCTTTATCACCAAACATACACACAAAACAAAGATTGTTTTTGTTACCTCAGGGAGCTCACAGAACTCGTCAGGGGAAATCTGAAGTATAGCTGATGCAGACTGACCCGTACACCACGCGTATAGTTTGGTTTCCTCGTCTGCAAGTGTTATCGTTATGTGGAAAGTTCTCACTACTTCTGATCCCGCGTTACTGTTCAAGCTTACTCGGCAGAAGCTACAATGCAGATTCCCTCCATGTGATGATGAGTTTTCGTCTATGAAATGGCCGCAAACGCTGTGCGATAATCTCGTGTTGATGTTATGGCATTGGTCAATCTCGTCCAGCTTAACCCGACAAATCTGTCAAATGAAATATGAGTTAGAGAGATGCACAAAGGAAAACATATATCAAGTTCTGTGAATCATTTAGCAATTGAGACGTACGTTTATAGCAGGCTTCCTCTGTTTTGATATCTGAGAGAGAGTAGAGACTCTGTGAAGACAAGACGAGGTTAGAAATGCAGGCAAGCAGCTAAGGTTGATGAATGTAGCTTTCTCGTCCTTCTCATGCCATGACACCTCAAGGCTGCTCAACCAAACAAGACTTCCATTAATCTTTAGGCTTAACCAATAAAGTGATAAACCAACACCTAGTGATACTTTAAATTCATGTTTGAGCTAAATTAGTTTCCCAATAGCGATGGATGAGTATAGCTCTTAGTTTTAAAAGCAAGAGAGACGCTTACCAATTCTCTTTTGTGCTTTTGCAGGATAACCCAGATACGTACACGACATGACCAAGCCCTAACCTTCCCAATGACCTGGAAACCATCAAAAGAAAGAGCTCATTAAACGGAACATTCGATGCTCTGAAACGCAGTTCAGATGTCGTTTTGGAATTCATGAAACACTTTAATACCAGTAACTAGTAAAATGGAGCTTAGCCCATATTGCTCCAGTTGTGTCCTCAATTTTCAAAGAAAATACCACTCCCGTGGCATTTGGATCACGTAAGATATCTGTTACAACGCCATAGAGACTGATTCCAGTGGTTTTGTCGCGAATGTCTGTTATAATCGTCTGCAGAACTTCAACCAAGGAGAGGTGTATTAGCAGATGCAGCTTAGCATTAGATTCTCAAATAACTGCCAGAGCAGGCTTTAGGTATAATCTGAACAATTGGCTTCTACTAGGCCTACGAGGCAGTGGATTTCCAACAGAGATGATATTTTACGCACAAGTTTAATATAAGCAAAAAATGTGAGCATTGTGAATGCAGTTTGTTATCTCAACTTCTACTCACCCGAAAAGGATAATTACTGAAGTCTATAGACCCCTCGGCGTCACGAGGCAATGTCACCTGCGAAACTCCTACTGAACCAAGCAGTTTAGATCCTTGACACTGATTTTGGGAAAATGATACACAAACCTGAAGAACAAACAAGTCACTCCACATTGGTTATATCAAAATCCAATGCAAACAAAATCTGACTCCACAAAAAGAGAACAAAAAGGTTCATCTACCATTTCCTCTTGTAAGGTTGGCGGCACTAGATAGAGATGTGTTGCGCTACCATATTCAAGGCAGAATTCATCCTTTCCTTCCATTGCGCTCTCTTCGAGACTAGATATATAAGGCCTCTCAAGCCCAAGCACACTTCCCACACTGAAAACGGATTTTTTCAGAAACGGGCTCGTAGAAAAAGTTAAGACTGAAGCATCCAGCCAGGAGCTTACCTCATAAGGTTTGCCACGATGACTTGCTCTCCCCACAAGATAAATTTTAACCTAACGCCGTCACCATCTACAAGTGCAATTTGCCTTCTATGCGCAGTACTAAACTTGAGTTCAGATTCCAGAGGACCTATAGATTCAATCCTGCTCTCAAACCAACAGGGGGAGATACGATGTTACTTTAATATAAAAAGCCAACAGAAGTTACGTCATGGTAACCATTCACTCTCTCAAAACACATACTTCGTACATCTTCTTTTGATGAGGTCAAATACACATCTTTCTACAAATTTACTATGAAATAGCGAGATTTGGAATAATACTACTACTCATTACTTCCAAAAGATTTTGATCTGCTAATTTAATCACTGTCTTACTTTTTAAAGTTTCTGGAATGTGTTTGAGGCATGTGAGTGGTAAGTTATTTTATCCAAGACCAGCATTGAGTGAAACCACACGCATGTTTAATTCCCTTACCTAGCATACAAAGAGTATGAAGTTCCACTGTTGAAAGCATCAAGAGAAACAGATGAGAAAGTATCGGAACAAAATTGAGCTGCTATGAGGATTGCATCATCATCTTCATCCTGCAGTATTTGAGAGTCAGATAAAAGATTAAACCCTTCTATTCCATATAAAAAAATTCATTTGAAGACTGCAAGAGTTAAAACTAACTACAGGCAAATTCAAAAGATTGGCAAAAAGCATAACCTCATCTAGCAAAATGACGAGATACTCAGTCGGAAGTAACCGAGGGATGCCACATCCTTCTCTAGCAGTACGAAGGTAGCATCCAGTGATCAAAACCTCTCTGCCTTTCCTAAGAATCCCATTTGGTGTTTCCACCAGCTCATAATATCTAGGCAATAAGCATTACATACTTATATAAGGAACCAATATACAGACATCACAGATACAAGCACTCAAACTCATCTCCACTAGAATAAGCATACCTGCGATGTAGATAGAGATCGATAGTGTTGGAGCTCCAGAAATCTCCTAGTGTAAGCATGAATATGTTTGTACCTGAAATAATTACGTTTGAATGCATTAAGCCACCTACATTGGCAAAGTACCGCACTGGAAATGAAAAATGCTAACAGGTTTTGTAAGATACCAGGAAGAACATCGGCATTGATAATAACAGCTTCCAAAACGCTGTTCATGGACAGAAAATTCTTCTCGTAGATGGAGTCTATTGTGACGGTATTAGCGAGCCTTCTTCTTCTGTGACTCTTTTTCAACTGGTCTATGAGTTCCGGCTTCTTCTTTGACATTCCTGGTTTGTTTTGCTCATGCCATGCCTACGAAAAAGAAAACATTCAAGAATCGACTACTTAATCGCAATATAAACAGGCTCAATAGCAAATCACAACATGATAATAAAACCGATCAATCTCATTGGCCAAGCTGCAAAACGATTTCTCGAAAAGAAAATTGATTTTTGTGAATTAAGGAAACGAACTTCTGTATTCCAAATCTGGGATTCCTATGTCAGGGACATTTCATATATATTTAGTCTCCTCCATAGAAGAAGCATCAAGCCAATGTTACAAGCACACTGCCTCATCAAATCGAAGCATCCCACCAACTACAATCCCAAATCGGAAAACTATAAATTAAAAAAAAAATGAAGTAGGAGATGTAGTGGCAGCACCTGAGAGAGATCGGACAAGAGGATCGCGGCAGTGACACCGCTCGAATAAGCGGTACAGGTTTTCAAGATACGCGAGGCGATCCAGCTCCAGCCCGGACCACTAGCCTCAGTCGTGGCTTCGCTGGGATTCCTCTTGCCCCCATCCTCCTCAATTTCGTCTTCTCCCGGCGAAATCACCGCTCTGGAATAGTCGATGAACGCCAGAAAAGGGTCTTCTGCTTCTTCCTGTTCATCGATTTCAATGAGCGAGTTTCCGTTTGAATCACCCATCTCAGAGCTCTGAATTGCCCAAATTTCTAAAACCCTAGATTTGCCGTTACTGAAATTGCCGGGCTTTAATTGGATTCATTCAGGGCACTCCACTAGTTGTGTGCTTTTCGCGGGGAAATTAATTTTAAAACAGACAATTTCCCTCGAAATCAGTTCGGTCCGTAATAATCAATTAATCATCTTAATTAAAACATGATACAAAAATTTATCTTTTGATTTATGAACGCTTCATCTTTACAGTTTACACTCTCACCCCCTCAATAATCTCCAATATATTTTCAAGCACCACTTATTTTCCCTCTAATGAATCTCCCTAACCTCTGAGAATCAAGATTAACGTCAAGCTTAGACGGATCCAACGATAGCTTCCCGCGTAAAAAAGCATCGAGGTTAAATCCGCTCCCGGTTTCAGTATCCTCGCGTCCTACAGAGCTCCCGCTCCCAGGTTCCTGATTGGATTGGCTCTCTTTGGCTCCACCCATGTTTCTAAGAGTATCGGTTAACCGGCTGCTGTCATTGCTCTGACCAAAGTTCAATAGCCTTTTAACGGTGTCTAAAGCCGGGTCAATGATATCCAAGAACCCCGTCACCCACGTAGCATCGTCAACAACCTCCGTGCGCTGTTTTTTGCAATGATGAAGAAGCCATCAACAGATGAATCATAATAACTTTACTAAAGATTCCTGCTAAAAAGAGCTTACTTGTTGGAAATAGAGGTTGCGGATTTCCTCAGCGCGTTCGGAGTCTCCTTGATCTTCCTCAAGTTTTGCCCATGTCATCCATGTAACGTAGCTTTGTGAGTTGATGTTCAGTGATGCTCTGAACAATCTTCTTGCTGCTGATAGGTTTCCTGCTCTCTGCTCTAGAACTCCCCACGCCTGTAAAGACAAATAATTTGTTTCAGCATCCTTCTATATACATTTTAGCAAACTTTCCGGCTAATGTATGATACAGGAACTTTTGTGGTGGATAGGCCTTTATTCACTTGTTTCTACGATGTCAACGTTCATTCGCTGAGACAGGACATATAAAAATGCAAATGAAAGAAGTTAGAAGTTAAACCTGTAGACAGCGAGCAGCACTTTCGGTAGTTGCATCAATGGATAGAGCTCTTTGGTAAAGTTCTCTAGCTGTTGTTGTGTTTCCTTCTTTCCATTCCATCCAACCCCAAGCCTAATACACTTTCCCCAATCATTTTCTCTTCCATGGAAGTTTATTAAGACTCTTGAATTCGCTAGCTAGGTAGAACTCGGTAACAACCAAGGTTTACTATGTAAAGAACAATCAATTTGGATCCTGAAATATACTTACAATCCAAACAGGTTGATGTCTAGGATCAAGCTCTGATGCTCTCCTTAGTAAAGCCCGAGCAAGATTGGCAGATGAGTGTTTGTACTCCAGTAATCCAAGGGACTGAAGGAGAACAGGGTCTCTAGGATTTAGCGCATGGCCTATCTTCAGGAGCTTTCTTCCACGCTCAACATTACCTACTCCAGCTTCAAACACCCCCCACACGTGCCACGCAAACCTATTCTTGGGGCTTGCCTGAACAGCTTTCTGTGAAAAAAAGAAAAGGCGCGATCATAACCTGAAGCTTTCATATGTAGCTCCATCGCTTAACAGGCACTAAATCATTCCTGGGATGAATATACATCCTTCACTGCTGTGACCTCATTGTGAATAGGAAATAGAGAGAAGATGTAGCAGTAACCTCAAAAAGCTTTCTAGCAGCTGGGAATCTTTCCTGCTGTATCTCCAACTGTGCCCATGCCTGTTCATATGTAGCAAGAAAAGAGAAGCTCATTCAGAATATCTTTTAACATCTCATTACAAGCCACCTTTAGAAACTGAATCCTGTTCAGGAAAATACAGGGGAGGCTAGAATTTGGTTCCCTGAAAACCGCAGTATCATGGCATTCTCTTTTTTCACACATTTTATCTCTAACGATTTATCCTAAGGTACACCTTTATAGAGTGGTATTCACCTATCTCTTATCACAAACATGTTTGATGGTGCAAAACACTTACCAACCAACTGGCACAGCTCTTGGAATTGGAGATGGTGGCCTGCTTGAACAGGTACCTTGCTTGTTCATACCGATTAGCTTTGGCCTCCAACAAGGCAAGCGTTTGGTAGATATACTCGTTCCTCCCGCAAAACTTGAGGCCCTTGGCGAGCAGATTCCTCGCTTTACTAATATTCCCTTGTTTTATCTCCAGGTTTGCCCATCCATGCCAGGCTGCTACATGCTTCTTGTCAGCCACCGTAGCTGCATCAAACAATTCTCTAGCTCTTCTTACATTTCCCAATCTGTTTTCCAGGACAGCCCAACACTGTTCCAATTAACAAAATTGTGTTGTTGGTACTACAGGATATGCATGAGAAACATAAAGTTGCCTTCAAAGTCAAGTGTATCAAGAAAAGTTTTTCAAGACTCAGAGTCAAACTCAAAACGAAAATGCCATATAGAACCTGCCAAATGTATGCATTCTCTCCTTGTGTAGCTTGACACCCTTTCTCGTACACGATTCGAGCTTCGGCTAACTTCGATTGTTTGTTCAGTATCTTCCCCAATGCCACGTACGGTCTCCCGTCCTCCGGCCAGTAAGCTATGCACTTAAGACCCAATGCAAACAGTGGTTAGATTCAGTAAACCTCTACTTAATACATTCATCTCTACGCACTCCACAAATGATGCAGTGATAAGAAGCTAAACCATCCATTATACTAGTGTAAATTCTCAGAACCATTCTCCAGTTTCATCCTACAAATTGGAAGAATTGCATGATATTCATGTACCAAATGGCAGAAGAAAGCGATGTTACCTTCTCCAGAATCTTCTCAGCGTCTTTGTATTTGAAATTCCTCGCCATGACCTTAGCTCTGTATAGAGATAAGTCCAGGTTCACTGAAAGCGGCTTCTCTTGGGCCCTTGCGACAGCCGCCGCTGAAGACGACGACGACGACTCCGATCTCTCCGGCTCAAAAATCGGCATCTTCTTCGCTATCTTACTCAGACCGGCATCGATCCTCACTGGATAACTTTTCTCTACTTCCTCGCTAGATTCCTTATCGGAATTCTCCAACAACGGCCTTCGAACTACTAGCACTCCCTCCGCGTTAGGTTCCCCTCCTTCGCCATTCGGAGATTCCTTTTGCGTTGATACACCTGAGGAGGATCTGTCGACGACTGCACACAGTGACGTGTGCTTGGTTGATTGACCGGAGATTCCATGGGTTCCGATATGGATCTTAACCGGTAATTTACAGAGATTCTCAGGAATTTGAGAGGGAGCGAGGAATAAGAGAGAGAATGAAGAAGTGTTCGCCGGAGAAGGAGAAGAAGACGAAGACGTCGGCACCAAGAAGTGCATTGTTTCAAAAAAAACAAAAAGCTTTAACTGATAAAACCGTCGTGAGCTTTCATGGAGGAGTCGGGGAAAGCTAGGCGGGCTCGGGCAAGACGAATGATGGTCATTAAAATTACGATGTTATCCCTATATTAATTTCGCCTTTTTATGATTTTTTTTAGTGTTATATCAATGCAATACAGTTATAGAAAAATTAGCAGACAATATGCAAAGGTAATTGGTTTTAAATTTTTGTAAATTCGTAATTATAAGCGTCTAATACAAAAAATATTGAAAGTTTTAAAGGGTGATTTGGTCATTATCTGGAGAATACTACTGGTGCAATATCCGGCCACGTTGCTAGCAATTTTGGATGGCTTAGCTGAACTGGATTTTAGTGACACGTGGTAAGCTCTTATTGGTTTGAAGCTCTTCGGGGAGATTCTTAGCCAAAGAACTCAGTAGTTCGGTGCGGATAGGTGCATGATTAAGTTCGTAGACATCCAATCATATCTCTTCGTAGATATTAGATAAGACCACAACAAGAGGTCATGTCAAGGTCTGCTCACTATACATTTAAATTGATTATAAAAAGTTTTGCTTTTTCTTCGATTTTTATTTAGTTTGCTTTTTCCCATGCATCAACGACGATCAGTCGATTGCCATTCGTTAGTACTTTTTTGATGTTTCATCTTATTTTTAAATTGATATATTACGTGGGTATATAAGTTAATTGTTTTTGTCGCCATACTTAAATGTTTTATATAATAATAATGTCCAAAAACAGTGGTAGGTTATGATTAGAGCTTGAAAGCAAACAAGAAGAAGATGGAAAAATTAGTCAATAAAAACAAGCACAAAAAAGAGACAAAAGCAGGCCCAACATAATTTTTGTAATACCTTAATTTTTCATGCACACGAAATTTCCCCGCCGGTCATTTCTATCTTTTCTGTTGTTTTTTCCTCTTTATCATTTTCAGAAAAATTATATTTATATGTATCATGTATGTTCTTTTTATTATTGATTGAACGCTTTATGTTTTTTTGTAAAAGGGAAATAAACGTAAAATATGGGGTATACTACAACGAATAATCCAAATTCATCTATACGACTTTTAAAAACTTGTCGTTTTGGACACCTCGTATCAATTAGAAGTTACGAGTAGATTGGAGCAAATTCTATCAGAATTGAGACTGTTCTGTGAATTCCGGTTTAATTTTCATTGTTTTGGTATAGCCGGTTTACATGATACATTGATACCAAGGGTCCAAAACGTTAAGTATATGATGTATATCTATTCATCTTCCAAGTTCCAAGTTCTAACAGCTTTCTGTTGAGTGTTTGCTAAACGGACAGCTAAGTTTACATACTCGTTCGAGATCAAGAAAAAAAATATATATATAAAACACTAGAAGCATGCATATAGACATTACAAAATATGGTAATACCAAGCTATTGCATATATCATTCAATCTGTGAAAGTTTAAACTACGCAATTATAAAAGTTCAGTTGAAACTAGCTTCTCAAATCCAGTTGTGTGATATCCAGGCCTATAGTTTACTATTCAAATCTTGTGTATCGAAATTAATCTTGACATAACATATTAGACGAGTTTACAATATGCAAAGCAACTCCAACATAATTAATGTCATTCGATATTAAGATGCATGGGGACAGTACTCAGTCGACACCACATGAATCATAAAATCTAATGATTTGTTGTGTGATTTTAAATCCCAACCAACTATAATGTTAAATATTTTTTTTTGGTTCAGTCAAAATTATATTTACTACATATCATATAGATTCATAGCTCATACCACCTAAACAACTTTTTGTAAATTTGTTATATATGTACATGTTTTCACATACTAGACTAGGAAACATGAACATCTCGAGTGATGTAAACCATTTCAATATTCTGCGAAAAGTCAATATTTCCGATCCCAAATTGTGGTTGTTTTACTATAATTGGGACAACTAATAACCAGTCAACCATCAATATCTCTTCGTGAACAGCTTTGATGTATATCTGTTTTTTTTTTAAAATTAATGTCAACATGTTTGTAGAAAGATGATCAATGAAATCTCAAGAAAATTATGAGAATAGATAACCACCATTCAAACATTTTCGACTACGTTTACGTTTCATAGGATTTAGACATTGAAACGAATTGAAACCAAACAAAAGTTGTACGATATGAATTCGGGTATTGCGAGTTAGATTCGATTAAATTTATTATGTCCTTTAGATTCGACCACTCCAGGGGCTCCCACGCGCCATGGGCCCAAGGGCCACGTGCGCGCACTAGAGAGAATAAAGCATAGCCCACGTGATCTTGGGCCAAGCTCTTGGATCTTTCTCCCTCAGAATACGACAAAACAAAGTTTGGGGTTAAATTGATAATAGTACAAGTATTGGGGTGGTTTTCCGAATGTACGACTGATAAATAGTAAAGCAAAAAAAAAAAAAAAAATCAAAACCGATGGAGAAAGCCAATCAGGAAGACGACAAAGACACTCGCTGACTCTCTCTCTCCCTCTCTCTCTCTCTTTCTTCACATACACACATTGCCTCTGCTTCATTTAATTGGTTTCCGTAATCCAGTTTGGCAATTTCTACCTTTTGAGATTTAATTTTCTCACTCTCTCCGATCCCAATTTCTCATTTTCTTCCCCTCGAAATCTCACCCGTTTTCTCGAGAAAATTCAAAGTGTTTTTTTAAAAAAGTTTTTCTCTGAAAGTGCTGAGAGAAACTCTGAATTTCGCTCTGTAAAATCTTGTGCGAGTCCACCAGAATCTCTCGGTTTCAATTTTAAGCAGAATATCGAGGATAATTCTCTCAAAATTTTCCCCCTTTTTTTTAATTTTTTTATATAATCTGACGTAATCTCGAGAAATTCCCCACCTTTTTATTTTTTTTGCTGTCTTGGAGCTGAGAAAATCTTCAATCAAGAGCCGCCCAGATGAAAAATTCGTCTCCGTTAACTACTTTCGGTCGATGGGGACCTCCAGATTTCAAATACCCATGATTGATTGACGCCGAACCCCTCCGTCTCTCGAGTTTATTCCGATAAACTCTTCTTTCGGAATCTCGAACAATTCTCAAATTACGACATGGTTTCCGGAGGTAACGGCGGTAGTGGCCGCGGACGTGGTGAAGAAGCAGCGTCGTCAAGTCACCGTGCCGAACGCAGTCTCCACACCACAACTTATCACCGGAGAGAACAAGCTCAATCTTCTGGGACGAAATCGCTTAGGCCGCAAAATCAGCCGCAGAGCCACACTGAATCAGTGAGCAAAGCCATTCAACAGTACACCGTCGACGCGAGGCTCCACGCCGTCTTCGAACAGTCTGGCGAGTCCGGCAAGTCGTTTGATTACTCACAGTCCCTCAAAACGACGACGTACGGGTCCTCTGTACCGGAGCAGCAGATCACGGCGTATCTCTCTAGGATCCAGCGAGGAGGCTACATCCAGCCCTTCGGATGTATGATCGCCGTCGATGAATCCACCTTCAGAATCATCGGCTACAGCGAAAACGCGCGGGAAATGTTAGGCCTTACTCCTCAGTCCGTTCCTAGCCTCGAGAAACCGGAGATTCTAGCGATGGGAACAGATGTGCGCTCTCTCTTCACGGCGTCGAGCTCAATTCTCCTCGAGCGTGCTTTCGTGGCTCGAGAAATCACACTGCTGAATCCGGTTTGGATCCACTCCAAGAACACCGGTAAGCCCTTTTACGCAATTCTCCATAGGATCGACGTTGGAGTCGTTATCGATTTAGAGCCAGCTAGAACCGAAGATCCGGCGCTTTCGATCGCCGGAGCAGTCCAATCGCAGAAGCTCGCGGTTCGCGCGATTTCACAGTTACAGTCGCTTCCCGGTGGGGACATCAAGCTTCTCTGCGACACTGTTGTGGAAAGCGTGAGAGACCTCACTGGATACGACCGTGTAATGGTCTACAAGTTTCACGAAGACGAGCACGGAGAAGTTGTCGCCGAGAGCCGGCGAGAAGATTTAGAACCTTACATCGGTCTACATTATCCGGCAACTGATATTCCTCAAGCGTCACGGTTCTTATTCAAGCAGAACCGTGTCCGTATGATCGTAGATTGCCACGCCACACCGGTTCTTGTGGTCCAGGACGATAGGCTCACTCAGTCTATGTGCTTGGTTGGTTCTACTCTAAGGGCTCCTCACGGATGTCACTCTCAGTATATGGCTAACATGGGATCTATTGCATCTTTAGCTATGGCAGTTATAATAAACGGCAACGAAGAAGACGGGGGCAATGTCGGTGGTGGGAGAAACTCAATGAGGCTTTGGGGTTTAGTCGTTTGCCATCACACCTCTTCTCGCTGCATACCGTTTCCTCTAAGGTATGCTTGCGAGTTTCTAATGCAGGCATTTGGTTTACAGTTAAACATGGAACTGCAGTTAGCATTGCAAATGTCAGAGAAACGCGTTTTGAGAACGCAGACACTGTTATGCGATATGCTTCTGCGTGATTCTCCTGCTGGGATTGTTACACAGAGTCCTAGTATCATGGACTTAGTGAAATGTGACGGTGCAGCGTTTCTTTACCATGGGAAGTACTACCCGTTGGGTGTTGCTCCGACGGAAGTTCAAATAAAAGACGTTGTCGAGTGGTTGCTTGCGAGTCATGCGGATTCGACAGGGTTAAGCACGGATAGTTTAGGCGATGCAGGATATCCCGGTGCAGCTGCGTTAGGGGATGCTGTGTGCGGTATGGCGGTTGCGTATATCACAAAAAGAGACTTTCTTTTCTGGTTCCGTTCTCATACTGCCAAAGAAATCAAATGGGGAGGCGCTAAGCATCATCCAGAGGACAAAGATGATGGGCAACGGATGCATCCTCGTTCGTCCTTCAAGGCTTTTCTTGAAGTTGTTAAGAGCAGGAGCCAGCCATGGGAAACTGCAGAAATGGATGCGATTCACTCGCTCCAGCTTATTCTAAGAGACTCTTTTAAAGAATCAGAGGCAGCTATGAACTCTAAAAATGCAGAGGGTGCGGTTCAGCCTTGTAGGGATATTGCGGGAATGCAGGGGATTGATGAGTTAGGGGCAGTTGCAAGAGAGATGGTTAGGCTCATTGAAACCGCTACTGTTCCTATATTTGCTGTGGACGCTGGAGGCTGCATTAATGGATGGAACGCTAAGATGGCGGAACTGACAGGTCTCTCGGTTGAAGAAGCTATGGGGAAGTCTCTGGTTTCTGATCTAATATACAAAGAGAACGAAGAAACTGTTGATAAGCTCATTTCTCGTGCTCTGAGAGGTATATTCAGTTCTGCAACTTTCCTGTATCTGCAGTTTATACACACTTCGCGGCTATTTGATTATTTTGCTGCATCTGGCAATCAATGCAGGGGACGAGGACAAGAATGTGGAGGTGAAGCTGAAAACTTTCATCCCCGAACTTGAAGGGAATGCAGTTTTTGTGGTTGTGAATGCGTGTTCGAGCAAGGACTACTTGAACAACATTGTCGGCGTCTGTTTTGTCGGACAGGATGTCACTGGTCAGAAAATCGTAATGGATAAGTTCATCAACATACAAGGAGACTACAAGGCCATTGTCCATAGCCCAAACGCGCTGATTCCGCCAATCTTTGCGGCGGACGAGAACACGTGCTGCCTTGAGTGGAACATCGCGATGGAAAAGCTCACGGGTTGGTCCCGCAGTGAAGTTATTGGGAAAATGCTTGTTGGGGAAGTGTTTGGTAGCTGTTGCAGGCTAAAGGGTCATGATGCTTTAACCAAGTTCATGATTGCATTGCATAACGCGATGGGTGGCCAAGAAACGGATAAGTTCCCTTTCCCGTTCTTTGACCGCAACGGGAAGTTTGTTCAGGCTCTATTGACTGCAAACAAGCGGGTTAGCCTCGACGGAAAGGTTATTGGGGCTTTCTGCTTCTTGCAGATCCCGAGTCCGGAACTGCAGCAAGCTTTAGCAGTCCAACGGAGGCAGGACACAGAGTGTTTCACGAAGGCGAAAGAGCTAGCTTACATTTGTCAGGTGATAAAGAACCCTTTGAGTGGTTTGCGTTTCACAAACTCACTGCTGGAAGCTACAGACTTGAACGAAGATCAGAAAGAGTTCCTTGAAACGAGTGTTTCTTGCGAGAAACAGATCTCGAGGATCGTCAGTGACATGGATCTTGAAAGAATTGAAGACGGGTTAGTTTCAGTTTGGAATTCTCTATATAATGGTTTTTGTTAACTTGACAATATGTGACCAGATTACCTAATTTTTCTTTTTACATTTGATCAGTTCATTTGAGCTAGAGAGAGCAGAGTTTTTCCTCGGAAGTGTCATAAACGCGATAGTAAGCCAGGCGATGTTCTTATTAAGGGAGAGGGCTCTTCAGCTGATCCGTGACATTCCCGAAGAGATAAAATCTATAGCTGTTTATGGAGACCAGACAAGGATTCAACAGATCCTGGCTGAGTTTCTTCTGAGTATAATCCGGTATGCACCGTCTCAAGAGTGGGTGGAGATCCATCTAAGCCAAGTTCCGAAGCAAATGGCTGACGGATTCTCCGCTATCCGCACAGAGTTCAGGTACTTCCCGCTGTTGTCTCCTCATATCTGTTATACCATAACACGCAAACCGGTTATTTTAATTTGATTTTGTTTTGGTTATTGTTTGTGAGGATATAGAATGGTTTGGTGTTTACGTAGGTGGCAGTTTTGGTTCGGTTAAGCCGGATTGGGAACATTTAGGCAGAGCCATAGGCCTATGATTAGTAGACAGTGATTGTGATGTTAGAAACTTTGGTTTCACGTTTTGGTTTCTGTGTTATGTCTTATTTTTTGCGGTTTCAGAATGGCGTGCCCAGGTGAAGGTCTGCCTCCAGAGCTGGTCCGAGACATGTTCCATAGCAGCAGGTGGACGAGTCCTGAAGGGTTAGGTCTAAGCGTGTGTCGAAAGATTCTGAAGCTAATGAACGGTGAGGTTCAATACATCCGAGAGTCGGAACGGTCCTATTTCCTCATCATTCTCGAACTCCCTGTTCCTCTGAAACGCCCTTTTTCAACCGCTAGCGGCAGCGGCGACATGATGTTGATGATGCCATAGTAGCCACACTTATAAGCTGGCACGAGAGTTTGTATCATTGTATGTGTATGTGTGTGTGAGTCTAACGACACCGGAGGAGGATAGAGAGTTTTTGTTTCCGGTGAGAATTGTAGAGAAGAGGAAGAGGAGGTCGTTTGCGTTTGGCTCGCCGGAAAAGAAAACGTAACAGTAGTTATAGAGTCTGCGAGACTTGTTTTCTTTTGTTTGCCCCGTGTATATTTGATAACTCCGAGAGAGGCAAAAGAATGAGAAAAGAAGAGAGAGATATTGATTGATTGACCAAATCCTTTTTAATTGTTACTCGTTGTTTCCAAACAAAGCTGACGGCGGTCACCGGAGCTGATCTCGCCGGCGATCGTGTATATTTTCAAAGAAAATTTGTCGGAGAAAGACGTTATGATATATACGTGGATGATGATGAGTCTTTCTTCCTAATATAATTAAGGGTAAATAATAAGAAGTATATAGATGTTACATTTCTAACAGAACGACTATGCTATTGAATATTTTTTGAATCATAAATTCAAAACTAAGTGGGATATATTTGATTAATGATTTGGGATGATTTCATTTTTTTTTATTTTCTTTTTCATTGAATCTAACATTTGAAAAAGTTACTGAAAATCCAAAATTATTGGATTATTCATTTATATAAATTTATCAAAATCTTGCTTTATTGAAAAATTGGGATCTCCTTAATAAATTATTTTAAAAATGATTTAGGATGATTTAAGAGGTAAGGGGGGGGGGGGGGGGGGGGGGGGGGGGGGGTGGTTAAATCTCTTTTTTGTTAAATCAAGGATTTGAAAAAGTTATTTAAAATCCAAGGTTATTGGATTAGTCATATATACAAATTCATCAAAATCTTGCTTTATTGAAAAATTAGAATTTCATTAATGAATTGTTTAAAAAAATTATTTATGATGATTTGAGAGATAATTTAGAATTAAAAACCAATAAATTGAAATACGACCTATTAGTAGGGCATATTAGATTAATGATTTGGGATGTTTTATTTTTTCCCAAATCTCTTTTTATTGAATCTAACATTTGAAAAAGTTATTTAAAATCCAAAGTTATTGGATTAGTCATTTATACAAATTCATCAAAATTTTGTTTTATTGAAAAATTGGGATTTCATTAATGAATTATTTAAAAATGATTTATGATGATTTGAGAGGTAATTTAGAGTTAAAAACCAATAAATTAAAATTCCATCTTATATGATGGTATTTGAGAGAATTTAGAAAATAAAATTTGTTTAAATCATTTTAAAACTTTAAATTCATTAAAATCTTCTTAGATTTGGATTTATCTAAATTACTAATCCAATGTCCCCCCCTTAACACTTGAGATTTTACTCATTCTTGCTAGAAATAAATTCAACATATACTTTTGAAAAAGAAATCATACATTTGATTATATTATATTGAAATTTAAGTTTATTCAAAAAAATAATGCTCCTGTTATTATTATTTTTCTCCCTTCCAAAAGTCAAATGAGGGTGAAATGCTATCAGTAGGGTTATAAACTTATTAAGCTAATCTAGAGGGAGAATAATGAAAATGAGAGTGGGGATTTTCGCATTGAATGTGGCTACCAAATCTTAAGTGGTTGAGAAGCTCTAAATGTAAAAGAGAGTAGGATATTCTTAAAATTAATAACATCCTCACCTTCCCCTCTCCTTTCGAACTAGTACTCGATTCTGATTTTTTCTCTGCACGTTAGCTATAAGCTGTATTACAATATTGAAATCGTAAATTTGGTGAACATGGAATTAAATAAAGGATGACAGGTTATTATGATAGGAATAGAAGATCGTTATATAAAGAAAGGAGGCACTTGGTCTCACTCATTAATTGCGTTCGTAGAAAAATTTGAACATGAGAGACTGGGACATGAGAACATGCGGAGTACGCGGTGTATAGGATATGATGATACAAGAGCTTGAAGGCCTGTCTCAACCATATCACATAAATGCTCTCGATCTCTACTTAGTACTATATATATATATATATAGTGTTTGTAGCTTTAGTCAAGTGAGCTATAACAATCGTATACTGATCAATTTACAAGATAGTAAAACAATTACTATCAAAGATGGGGAAAGTATCTTTTGGGTTTTTAAGTTTGATGCTTGTACTTGTCGTGATAGGAGTTGTGGAGTGTAGGAGACTTGAGAAGGAGACGTTGGGAGGTGGTGGTGGTGGACTTGGCGGTGGTTTTGGTGGCGGCAAAGGTTTTGGTGGAGGACTTGGTGGCGGTGGAGGTGCCGGTGCCGGTGGAGGATTTGGTGGTGGTCTAGGAGGCGGTGCTGGTGGAGGAGCCGGTGGAGGATTAGGTGGTGGTGGAGGACTCGGAGGAGGCCACGGTGGAGGTATTGGTGGTGGTGCCGGAGGTGGTGCTGGTGGAGGATTAGGTGGTGGTGGAGGACTCGGAGGAGGTCACGGTGGAGGTATTGGTGGTGGTGCTGGTGGAGGAGCCGGTGGAGGATTAGGTGGTGGTGGAGGACTGGGAGGAGGCCACGGAGGAGGTCTTGGTGGTGGTGCCGGGAGAGGTGCTGGTGGTGGTCTAGGAGGGGGTGCAGGAGGCGGTGCCGGCGGAGGACTCGGAGGAGGCCACGGTGGAGGTATTGGCGGTGGTGCCGGGGGAGGCGCTGGTGGTGGTCTAGGAGGAGGTGCCGGGGGAGGTGCTGGTGGTGGTCTAGGAGGAGGTTCCGGTGGAGGTGCTGGTGGTGGTCTAGGAGGAGGTTCCGGTGGAGGTATTGGTGGTGGTGCTGGGGGAGGTGCCGGAGGAGGATTTGGTGGTGGTGCTGGCGGAGGTGCTGGTGGAGGATTCGGTGGTGGTGCAGGAGGAGGAGCTGGTGGAGGAGCTGGCGGGGGATTCGGTGGTGGTGCAGGCGGAGGCGGAGGTCATGGTGGAGGTGTTGGAGGTGGATTTGGTGGAGGATCAGGAGGTGGATTTGGTGGTGGTGCTGGCGGAGGAGCTGGAGGAGGATTCGGTGGTGGAGGAGGTGCCGGTGGTGGATTTGGCGGTGGATTTTAAATCTAGTAATTAATTATTCATACAAAATCTATTCTTGGCTTGAACTAAGCTAGGGCTAGTTACTTATGTACCACGTCATATGAGAAGAAAGTATATCATTTTCCATTGTAATTTTTTTTGTTGTCATCCATTGTAATTTATTATGTATGAATCGCCGTACTTAAAAAGATTTCCCCAATATTCGCAATGTTTTCGTTGGCTTTAATTAATCCAAATAATTCATTCGAGAAAATACAATAAATTGGAAGATATGATTTAATTATAACTTAGGTTACATTATTATATTATAAAAATGGTAACTATCTTATATAATGTGAGCAAACAACATAAGAGTTTCCAATGCACTCTAAAAACAATTTAGAGTAGAAGAAGAACAAAAAGAAAGAGAGAACTATTTCGTGTACCCGTCCAAGAAAAGATAAAGACTCTTCTTTCTTCATTTGTTTTTTTTTTCCCAAGTCACACCAAAACGCGAAACGCCAAAACTCAAACGCGAGACACGCACGAAATAGGAACTCTAAGATTTTTGCTGAAGCCAAACAGGGAGCCAAGAAGCTCCATCAATAAAATCAATGGACAAGAACGACTCAACTTCTTGTTTGGTAAGCTCTTTGGCCCATTCAGATCTCTTTTGCCTCTCAGCACCTGGTCCATGACACTTATACTCCGCATGGTATAAGTTCCTGATCCAAGTCTCAAGAGTATCAGTATAATAAACATAATTAACATTTAATTACTGTGAAAATAATGATTAGAAACTAACTGGGTCGAGCCATCGTAGCTCCAGTTGGTCCAACCGTTAGGGACAACGGTCTTGGACAAGTAAGTCTTGGCAAAGATGACCCGAGAATAAGGTCCTTTGGCTCGGCCCAAGTAAACCTCATCGATTCCGTACACTTTGCCTCTTATGAACACATAACCCGTATTTTCCTCTGCATGTTCCCTGTGGTGTGCTGTGATGGACCCGTATGGTTTCACCCTCTTGTCCGATATCACAAATATCTCACAATTCTGTAACGATTAATTTTAGAAAAAAAATTAAAATGCGAAAAGGTTAGTGGGAAGAGAATGTGTTAGTGGGAAAAAACGTACGCTGAAAATGGAAGTTGCACGACCGAAGATAAAGTCGATGGAGCCTTGGATGTAACACTCATGGTAATAATGTCTGCCTTTGTTATCAAACAAAGTGTTGTGCAAGCTGTAGAACGCACAATGGTAAAACGCTACTTTATCAGCAGCCACAAACGCCGCCACCGACTGGTTCTCAGACGTGAACGCCATTCCAACTGGTGCATCATTCTGTATAATTTTATCACACAAATTCATTGTCATTTACGTAAGTATATATAAACTCATTTTAAAATCTACAATTGTGTTATACATTCTCTGATGCTGATACCGAAAGCGACAAATTTATCACACAAATTCATTAATACACCAACGTCATTTACGTAAGTGTGTATATATATAAACTAATTTCAAAATCTACAATTTTGTTATACATACTCTGATGCTGATACCGAAAGCGACAAAGTGATTAGCTTCGACTTTGAAAGTGGCAGAGGCAACATTATCGACCGCACTTTGAGAAGATTCGATGACCGTTTTGCCTTTTCCATTACCTCTCATGAATATGAACGGCTTGTTCTCCGGAATGTGTACTCTCTCCCTTTTTATTCCAAAAGAAAAAGGAAAATCATCAAATTCAAAACCAGAAATGTAAATTCATAATAGTAATAGATTTTTTTTTTTATATATGACAGTATTAATTAGTAATACATACTTGTAGATTACTATATTTATGTACGTTGTGTGACATGGTTTATATGATATCATGTAAATTAAAAGATTAAACCTCGTAAAAGTATACGTACTTGTAGATTCCTTTACGAACATGGACGATAATCCAATTAGAGTTACCAACAGGGACAGCATCAATGGCTTTTTGAACCGAAGTGTAGTCTCCTTTGCCTTCAATATCCACAATTATCGATCTATTTGTTGCGATTTTGTCAGTCAGAAGTGGCGCGTCGAATTTCGTTTTTTGCATTGCTGATGCGTCCGAACCCCATGCGGACATTACAACTAGGGTTAGGACAAGGATCATTCCTGCTCGATGATCCATCTTTTTTTTTTTTTTTGAGGGTTTCTAGTTTTCTTTTAGGAATAGGGGCGTGAGAAAGAGATTATATTGATAAAAGAAGAGGTTAAATTTAAGAGGTTTTTAAATTTAGGGTGTTTCGTTGTGTTTGTTTTGTTTTGGAAGGTAAGGGATTTTGGAGGAACATATGGTTTTTTCTTACGCTTTTTAAAATTTTTATTTTTAGACATTTATTATTGAT